GATCAGACGTTTTCATTCGTTTGATCAGAAGTTTTTGTTCGTTTGATCAGAAGTTTTCAGTCGTTTGATCAGAAGTTTTCATTCGTTTGATCAGAAGTTTTTGTTCGTTTGATCAGAAACAGAAAAAGTTTTCGTTTGTTTGATCAGAAACAACATAATTATTCATTCTCTTGCATTAAGTATACAAATGATTAGTTAATTCGTAATTAGTATACAACCGTAGTAACGATTGATCATCCCGCTAGATCACCGTTAGCGGGAAAGAAGCAATTCAATTCAGTAGCACGTTAGCTCACGTCAGTCACGTGTTATGAAGTTTGTCTCGTCTGAACTCTGAATTGCGTGTTTAGTGTGCATGATGAAAAAACTCTGCCTAATGATTACTTAATGAAGTTTAGTTCATTGCGGTCAACTTAAGAGACAAATTTTCAACTAACTAATACTTTTTTATAAGTCTAATTTTAATTGTTGAGTGAAAGGTGCAGGTTTACAACTTCAAAGTGATTAGGTACTTTATAGAAACTGAGCAAGTTAGCGTGCGTGTTTTAAGCCTTTAAGAAGTTCATTTTTTGCCTCAAATAACGATGTTGTATAGAAGAAGTGGTCTAGGTGGATCGAAATAATATATGAACCTCCGAAATTAGAATTCCATCCTGCTAACGTGATCTATTGTGTTCTAATGTGATCTATTGCGTTCTATAGCGTTCTGATGCGATCTATTGTGTTCTAACGCAATCTATTGTGTTCTAACACGTTCTATTGTATTCTAACGCGATCTATTGTGTTCTAACACAATCTATTGTGTTCTAACGTGTTCTATTGTATTCGAATGTGATCTATTGCATGCTAACACGATCTATTGCGTTCTAACGCGATATATTGCGTTCTAACGCGATATATTGCGTTCTAACGTGATATATTGTGTTCTAATGTGATATATATTGCGTTCTTACTTGATCTATTGCATTTTAACGCGATCTATTGCATTTAAATGCAATCTATTGCATTTAAATGCAATCTATTGCATTTAAATGCAATCTATTGCATTCCATCGCGGTCTATTGTGTTCTAACGCGATCTATTATATTCTAACACTGCCGTGTTCCACGGCTCCGCCGTGGAGTGTTCTCCTCAACAGATGCTAGGGATAGGGAAAGTTTGAGCCGTGCAGGCAGTTTGAGTTAGGTAGGTTTTTCAATGAGTTGGTAGAGAGCCAATTAATTAAAGTTATGAATTGAAGTGATTAATTAAAATAGTAAAAGTGACTTAAGTGAGTGATTAAAGTGATCAATTAAAGAAAATTAAGTGATTGATTAAATTGATTAACAACTATAACTCAAAACTCGGTCGTGGGGCCACATTGGACTAGTCTTCAGAGGCTCCCGCAAATTTGAAAAGAAAAAAAAAAGAATAGATGATTAGACTGACTCACTGATTAGAGCCCCAAAATTTCACACGAACTGAAATTATATGATATTAGAGCTGTGATATTTTAGAAAGAAATAGAACTTTTCCAGCCCTGCAAGTAGTTAGTAGGATCAAGCATGAAGCATGGAAAACATCTACCTAACTTTAGAGCTGCAACTAGAGCTTTCCTGCCATTTCTGGAACCATGAGATTTCCATCAGATGAATTACCTTCTTAGTCCTTCTATCTACTAGTAATTGTTATTAAAAGTGCACGATCAGGCGGATCAGGCCGCAAGCTTCCAATTTTATTAAAAATTTGTCACTCTGGAGCGGCAGAGCCATGAGATTTCAGAAACAAGTAGGAAAATTCCAATCCTGTTAAAAAGTCATAAATTTTTGTTTGATTAAAAAAATTGCAGCTTGCACCTCACGAACATGTTGTTTTATAAATTTTTCAACTTCCCCAGACCCCATTCTGCAGTAATCAGTATATTATATACTAATTCAATACTCCTGCACCAGGGACCAGCCTACCGCCAAAATAACATGCAGAATGTAATAACAAGTTAACTCAAAACATTTCGTCCATGAAGATTGTGTAGTTGCGGTAATGTCAGACACTCAGAGTGGTCTTATAGGCCTACTGCAATGCAGTAAGACCACTCTGAGACCTGCATTATCACTTGTTCAGTTGCTGCTTAAGTGAAGACAAATGCTAATGACTGTTTTTTGTATGGGACTTTGTAAATAACAAGTTTGTGGGTCATGAACATGATATAATAAAATGTTTTTTCAATTCCAAGATATGGAAATCAAGGCTCTAAGAAATGGAATCATGGCTGCGGCTGGCAAACCCATGAAGCCACGGCTCAAAAAATCCAGTCACGGCTTGCTAAGTAGATATATTCCATGCCTGGGTACTAGTAATAGCATTAGCCCACCTGTCTGTAATACTTCATTATTGAAAGTTCTACCCAACTTCCCAAGTCCCAACTAGGCCAACCCCAATATGAGCAACTCTGCTGTCTCTGCAACTAATTCTGAATTGATTGCATATTGAAGCATTTTCAAGCTCTTTTCCTATTGAAATAATTTAATTTCAGGGTGCAGAAAGTGGGTGAATATCTGAAGATATCTGACACATCAGCAGCAAAGATTATGCCTTCAGAAGATCTTGCATACACATTTGGTTTGAAATTATTACATTATAGATATGGTATTCACAAATTTTTGGCAGAGCTAATTGCAGAACAGGAGGTACACCATTGGCTGCAGCTGCACCGTTATTACAATTTCCAGTTTCCAGTTGGTCAGATGAGGCTGCAAAGTAAAGCACAATCCACGATTATTTAATTTTGGTTATAATGCAAATTATGCAATTGTTTACTGCAATACATAGGGTGTTAAAGATACACTCATTGTTGTTTCTTACGCCAATGCCACCCTCGCGGCGCTGGATGCTCCGAGGGGGCCCCAGATTTCAGATAGATTGGACAAGTAGAAGTGTGTTAAATTTTGATTATAAGATTTGTAGCAGACAGACAGACAGACAAACAAACAAACAAGAAGTGAAGTTAAAGAGAAGTGTTGTAATAATTAGCAATGCATTTGCCAAACAGAGCACCCTGGCTCTTGTTAATGTCTCTGACTCCATAGTGGTAAACTAGAGATTTTTTGGAATCAATTTATTTTAAATTTTTCCATCTACTTACTATTTTAATCAATTTCTTTGTGTGACAGTGCTGGTATCTATTATCTAAGATACTTACTGGTCTACTTAGGGGGCTCAAATATGAACTTGAGGGAGGGCCACAAAAAAAGTTCTAAATGACCAGCAAGTATCAATGTATCCTGGAATACAGATGCCAGCATTAACATATATACATAACATTAGATCTTGGATGTTCAAAAATGTTATCATCTTGGGACTTGGAAGCCTAACTGGAAATTTTCTGCATTGTCTTGTAAATTGGGTAAAAACACCCATAGGCCGTAAATCCGGCTAGACACTGTCCTATGGCCTTTTACCAATTTGATAATTTTTGCTTATATTTTTTGTTGCTGCCATTACAATAAAATGAAAGTGATGAAGCAGCTGAATCAAGAAAAGCTGCCTCCATTTGAACAAGTCATTTGTGAGAACATGCAATGGCATCTTTTGCTGCTATCACCCATGACCCATGGCATTAGTAATTCAACATAGTTATTTATGATTTATTATGCAACTTATTTATGATTTATTATGCAACTTATAATGCAAGCCATCTTTTATAAGTTTCAGCACTAATTAAATTAACCAAATCAGTGAGAGAATTTGTATATCTGTTGCATTCTAGTATGCAGGACCATTTTATTTGTGAGTTAGCTGATTGAAATAATAAAAAATAATGTTTTAATTGCCTGGGTGTTGGGTTATTGCTTCAGTCGTGCCTTAATGACCTTATTTTGACTTTAATTCACCCACACACTTTCATTAAAGGCTTTTGATTTGTCAGGTAATTCTTTATTGTTTGTACCAGTAATGTTTTCTTAACTTGTGCATTATTCTTCTCTGCTATTTCCTGCAACAATTCAATTTGTTCACAAGTAAGGTCATTGAGTTTACTGCATGTTTTTAAATAATTTGCACAGTTATTTTCTGTAGAGTTTTCATGGTATCATGAAACTACACATACATTCCATTATATTAACTTTCAAGTGTTCTAGATTCAGGATTTTAAATAGTTCTGTTGATCCTCCTTAAATATGAATTCTTATTGCTGCACTAATGGGTAATGCTTTCTAGCATATTTTTTTGGTCACGTTTTGATAGCATGATAATATGTGATTGGTTCAGTTCTCTTAGAACATTGCCCTTATTTTCCAATGCCCTGTTGAATGTTTAAAAGTCTGTAAATCAATAAAATTTAATTAGTTTATCTCTTTCAGAGTACAGGTGCAGATTAATATACTCATGAAAAATGGGAAATGGTGATAAGACTCAAATGCTAGTCCACATTGAAAAGAATCTCGATTACCAGTCTTTTGATGTGAGATGGATCCCTAATTCTGCAAGACTGGTTGTACTGGGCAGCAATACTGATGCTACAGGCTGCATAGAGGTATGTATTTTGGGAAACACACAAATAATGTCTAAAAGGGTATTTTAAACTATATCATTTACATTTGGAGGTACTGAAAGCATTTCTGAATAAACCCATAGAACCTTACTTTCATCTGTTTCTTTACCAATTCCTGGAATTGCTACATAGCAACATAATGACCTGTTGTCAACAGATACATAAACCATATAAAGGTTTGGCATTTCTAAAAGCCTGGTTGCTAGAGCACTTGCTTGGTAAACAGTAAATTGAATTAGAATTAAACAGAATATTCATTTTATTTTGTATTTATAAATGAAATGTCTGGGGCATCAAAAGATGATGACATTCCTGACAGTTTACATGAATAGTACTTGGAATGATTTTGCTTGTCATAAATAAGATCTAATAACTTTTCTACATCTACTCTTTATTTTACAGCAATGTAACCATGATATAATTTAGTGCTTGTGTTTTATTTTGCAGATTATGGAAATGTCATCAGGGAAGCTTGATTCGCTCTGCAAAACCAAGTATCCGTATGCTGTGAAATGTGGTAAGTTCTCTATCTTGATATAATTCAACAATTTATGGATGAAAAATTGAAGGAATATTTTTTATTATCACGGTCATTTACTTGAGTGTGTAAATGTGTCTTTTTACAATAATTAATGTGTTGTTATATGGTCATAGATGAAATATTATTGATTTGTATTTCACTCGTGTTACCTATCTCATAATTACTGTGTTTTCTCTGCCATGATTACCAAGTTCAGCAGTTTGTACACAGATACATACTAATTATCCAATATATTTTTATGTATATAATTTTTTCTTGTAGGTACTTTCAGAGCGTCATCCACAGCTGCTCGACAGTTGGCCTTTGGAGACTTCCATGGACATCTTCAGGTTGTGGACTTAAGCCAGCCTGAAAAAATTCTGTACTCTGTCAAAGCTCATCACAGGGTGCTGAACACTATAGATGGAGTGGGAGGACTCGATATTGGAAGAGGTAAACATATTTTCCTGTCTTTGTCTAACAGAATTAAGCATTTTATGATTATAATTTTTTTCTAATTTGGGTTGCTGATTCCATAATGTGATGGGAAAGGCATGCTTCTAAACAAACATTCTAGGATTAATTATAGCCAGATTTGCATATTCTTACATAGACTAGTATGCAGATCTCAGCTTGATAGCAACTAAGATATTAGTTCACAAGCAAAGTCAAGGCTACAAAAAACTTTCCATGGTTATTTTTGTCATTAGATATAATTTAGTCTTTCATTGCATTTGGTAGTATTTCTTTTCTAAATCCAAAGAGACAGAATCGGTCATAATTGGATTTTTAAAAAATGTTCAACTCTCATCCATAGTGTTTCAACCGCATAGATGTCAACATTAATCAAGTGGCTTTAGTGTACTTTCAGAACTATAAATCTCTTTATTTCTAGTAGTACTATTAACGAAGAGTCGTTTTTCCAGGCATTTGGCTTGCAAGCAACGTTTACTGAAAAAAAATTCGTTAAAAAAGGCACCACCCTGTCTGTTTGACATGCACTGAATGAAATAGAACCAGTATTGCTTTGACGCATCTTTTGCCCCCCTTAGGAGCACCAGAGCTCGTGACAGGTGGAGCAGACGGGCGCGTGAAAGTGTGGGACCTTCGGCAGAGCGATGGCCCTGTCGTGACCATCGCTCCTCAGGAGGGCACCCACCAGCCTGACTGTTGGGCAGTGGCTGCAGGCAACGCACATAGCCCTGAGGAGAGAGTTGTGGCTTCAGGGTTTGATAATGGGGACATTAGACTTTTTGACCTCAGGACTAATAAAGTTATGTGGGGTGCAAACGTAGGCAATGGAGTGTGTTCACTAGATTTTGATAGGAGGGATATAATGATGAACAAGCTAGTTGCAACTGTACTTGAAGCAAATATCCATATTTTCGATTTGAGAACCTTAGATGCCAATAACCAGTTCGCTTTCAAGTCCGTGTTGGCTCACAAATCTACAGTGTGGTGTGCTCGGCATTTACCTCAGAACCGCGACATATGGGTTACTACTGGGGGTAACGGATCACTAATGTTATGGAAATACGTGTATCCGGCCAAGCGATCTGTAAAAGATGCTACTGGGAATTTGATGGGTGTGCCTGGAAATGCAGATTGTCTAGCTTCTCTAACAGCAAGCACTCAGCCTATTACAAACTTTGATTGGAATGCAGATTTTGCTGGGCTAGGAGCATTCAGTGCTATAGACCAAATTTTACGCGTTACGATCGCTACCAATCTGCCATCCTGAGTTTTAATCTCAGAGATTTTTTATTCAGGGTAATTTAACATTATTGTTTGAAAATATTTTGCTTGAATGGACTTCAATTACCAAAAGCTGTTTGCCTTTGACTTCCACATTTGTCTGTCTTGCATCGCCATCTTTTCTTCATTTTACATTGTGTGCAAAATATGCATGCATCATTAATTTGACTCTTGATGCTAACTGCTTCCAAAACTAAAATTGAATTCTCAAATCCAGTCAATATTATATGGTTAACATTTCTTTATTGTGTATCAATAAACTAGTATTTCTTTCACTCGAATTTTTTTTATACGTTATGTCCATTTAAACGACTTTAGTTGAACATTTCTGTATGACTGGTTATTCTCCAAGTCATCGCTTCTTAGAGCCTTGGAAGATCATCAATGTACCCTAATGACAAAAAGATTTTAGTACGGCGGCTCCACCGTTTTTCTGAAGGATGTCCGATGTGAAAAGTATATGATTTTGCATAGTAAGTGAATCCTCGACTGCAATTGATGAAATTGCTTCCTCTGTATGTTGCAAGATCCAAAGAGTTGATTTTTCATGAAATATTGGATGTGCGCCACATAAGAAGACACGAGACTTGCTTTAACTTCAAAACGATAGACTTAACTAAGCATGGTTAGGACTACATCAGTTAAACCACACCAGGAGGCAAGCCGAACCAGTGGGCACACCATGCCAGGGCTTGGTCCCAGGTCTCCAGACTACGGTTGAGAGCCAGCCTAACTTGGGACCAGCAACGCTTGTCGGCCAAATAACTCCTGGGAGCTAAACTCACCTAGCCGAAAACTCGCTGTTATACTAATAAACGCTCTCGTGAACTAAATTCATGTAAACGACATGCCTTAGAATCTTGATGGCTAGTTTGTACAGGCCTTCCAGACCGCTTGTGATAGGAAGATTTTTTCTCGTTTAACCAAAGCCGTCGGTTATGATTGGTTGCTTAAAATACAGTACCTTTCAAATCTGTAAATAGCTAGCTGTTCAGCACGAAAAATTTTCATGAGTTCGCCATGACGTTTCATTCCGGTCGAGACCGTTCAAACATTAATGTGGCGAATTTTAATGTTTGAATTTTTCAAACATTAATGTGGCTGTTGACGGGCTGAGGATGGAGAAGGAGCCACCAGTGAATTTTCATTCATCATCACGGATAACGCTAAGTTTTATCATCAATTACATGACTAACTCGGCTTTTAGCGCAGGACGTGAAATGATGATCTAACTCGCATTCGCAAAAATAATTTTGAGTTGAAGGAACGTATTGTGAATAAAAGTTTTGTTGATAATTAGGTTAAGATCTTTCCGATTTTACTAACTCATACGCAGAAAACATGCTTAAACTTAACTGCCGTGTGATAATTAATATCAATGCGAGAAGAAAGCTTCGTTTGTAGCTAGGTCAAGGCCGGTTTTGGTTTGAAAAAGTTGTGCGTGGAAAAATGTAACTTTTATTTAGTTTTATGCATGAGTTGAGTATTTATTGTCTGGTAGCACTTAAACTTTCTGACACTTTTTTCTATCAAGCTATAATGATCTTATTATAACTTACATTGTATCAATATGCGATGTAAATACAATATGTTATTTTCTGCAAGTGCGGAAAAGTTCTCTATTTAGGTCCCTCCAATAGTCTTTATCAGTTATTGCAATCTAGTTATCTAGTGAGCTATCAAGTTCAATTGAAAGGAAACTTTAAAGCTAAAAGCTTCATTAAAGTATTGTGTGAAACTGTATATATTTGGACAATAATTTTGTTATATTATGATAGCTTGTAATAGTATAAATTTTAGTAATTAGTAAATAATTTGATAAATACTGTTTAATAGGCCTACTTCAGCAAGTTCAGTTTAAGGCCTAATACTGTTTAATTGGAGAAGTGGAAAAATCATTAGGCTACCAAATATTAAGATCCAGCAGCAGCATGGAGAAGAATGGCTCAAATATAGAATTGAGTGATTGTAAGTAATAGTATTAAAGATATGAATTAATTGTTCAAAAAGTCCAAACCTAATGCAAAAAGAAATACCAGGCAAAATTTTCCAGAAATTACAGATTGAAAAAACTATAATTTCATCTAAAATTTGCCAAAAGCTCAGGCAATAATATACCTTATTTCTTATTTTATGAAATAAATCAGGCAAGAGCTAGGGTAAACGCGGTATATTCCAACATCGCCAGGCTGTAGAGTAGGGCCTTTCAGCTCGAGATATTGGCATCTTTTCAAGCTCTCCATCAGCCACCTCGACCTTAAATCGGCGTCCATGGCCGATCATAAACTATGGCTCAGGCAGCCATGACCAATCATAAACTATAGATTGCTCGATCAGCCCCGCTGTCACCGCGCCCATCTTCAGCTTGTTTGATTGCTTGTATCTGTCACCCGATCTCAATGTGCATACGTCTGGCAAGCCCAATGCTACTGCTGAAAAAACTTGTCAATCTATTGTGTTCTAACGTGATCTATTGTGTTCTGATGCGATCTATTGTCTTCTAACGTGATCTATTGTGTTCTAACGTGATCTATTGTGTTCTAACGTGATCTATTGCGTTCTACCGCGATCTATAGCGTTCTAACACGATCTATTGTGTTCTATACAAAAATTGAAATTTGCTTAATTAAAAGCCTAATAGCTGTTAATTAAAACGTAATTAAGTAGTGTTCAATATTCGTTAGTGTTCTAATTCAAAGCCATGTTGTATCCCAATACAGCTCACACAGCAAACAGAATTCGAATACGTTGATGTCGGCATTACGTATTTGTTAAATTTGAAGCGCTGACGCAATACGACTCACCACGTGTCGAATATTGCCACACACAGTGACAGAATATAGGGATTTGGTAGGTTTCCATTCTAAAGGCATTTTAATAAATATGGCAACATTTTATGATGTTTCATCGTTGCTGACGCGTAGTGAAGTGTTTTGAGAGTCACGTGAAGGCAACAGAACTTACGTAACGCATACGGTTTTTTTTTATAGTTTTTCATTTCTCAATGCGTCCTTAATGTGTCGGAATATACCGCGTTTACCCTATATAAATTCAATCTAGAATATTAAGAAGAATTTTACTAAAAATTCTTCTTAATAAAAAAAAAAGTGGTTAAAAATGATTATTTCATGATAATCTTTCAAAAACTAAGTAAAATGTAGCAATTTTTCTTATTTATAACTATAAATTAGGAAAAGGCAATAGAAACATATTAAATTAGCCAGATGCACAGCCCATGGGCTGTAGGTGGATATGTACAATTTACAGGTAGCTTTTAACCAATTTTCATGTTTGGATATTGTTCCAAGTGAGCTGTTCATTATAGACGTTCTTTCGGGCAGATAACAAAGTTTCGAAAAAAGAGGTACCTATGTGAGAGGTTTTTTCCTTTACTTTTAACTTGTAAACTGAAATAACAAAGACAAAATTTTACATTTGAAAAGTTAGAGGACATAACAATTGAGAAAGAGAATAGCAGACAGAACAGCAAGCAAGGAGATGCTGGATGGACTGGAGAGGATCCCTGCACTCTGGGCAGGTGGCGGCGGGGCGCTAGGGGAGCGTCTGACCCTGAAGGTGTAGGATGCGAGGGAACTACTGTATCTCGAGCCGAGCTGGGATAGCACCAAGCAGGAGGGGTGAGGAAGCAAGGCCTCTTCTGATGCAATCAGTGGTGGTGGGGCTGAGGACAGCTTGTTAATGGCAGTTGCTGCAATGCAATGCAGTAGGCTATCTTCCTGCAGAGATAGCATTCAACCTTCCCAGAGGCACCATTGGGCATGATGCCATCTGCCATGCCAGGAAAGGCGCTACAATGTGGCCAAATCTCAACTTGGAAGCTTTCATGGGGTGGTCTTTGAGGGGAGCAGAGGCAATGTGGAAAGAAGTATTGGTAGGCTGGAGGGTGCTGGCAAGAAACTGAGCACAGGCCAGATCCCAGTGAGCTGGCAGGGGAAGGAGGCCGGTCTCATGGTGGAGATGGGCGATTGAGTTTTGGATGGTTTGAAGGCTTGCTATTGCAGTGCATGAGGCAACAGGGTACCAGATGGTGGAAGACTAATTGAGGATTGGGTGCATAATTGTCCAGTAAGTGGCAATGATGTCCTCCGTAGAGAAACTCCAGTTGGTGCCAACCAGGGCATTTAAGATACCTAAGGAACCTGTTTCTTTGGTGGCTATGGCTCTGGCTTGGTAAGAAAACGTATAGTGGGCATCCCAGGTGATGCTTACGATTGTGGGATTTTTTCTTGGGGAATGATGCCATTGCAGATTGTTGCAGAAGGATGTAGGTGTGATTTTTGAGTGTCTGGGGTGAAGAGCATGAGGGAAGACTTGCCTGGTCAGTTTCTTGGTAGTCGACCAGTCTGAGACTTTTCAGTCAGAGAAGCCCAGAGAGGGCAGCCTCCGCAGCATCAAGCCTCGGGGGACGACACAAAGATGGTGAGGTCGTCCGCATATGAGGCGATATTGGGGGCCGGTACATTTGAGATGAAGTGGTTGAATAGGTACGGCGAGATGCCCTACCCTTTGGAGGACTCTTGAATGGATTGTTCTGAAGGGGGATTGTGTTCTAAGATAGAGGCAGGATGCCATCCTGCTTCTGAGGCAACATCAGAGCCAGCAGACCAGGTTGTGATGTAGGTCTGAGGCCGCGATCATACTAAGGAGGAGAGGGTGGTCGACACTACCGAAAGCTTTTGATAGGTCGACCGCAGCTGCCACTGTTCGGGCTGGAGGCCGTCGTGAATTGAAACCAGTCGCAATCTGGTGCGCGAACGAGAGGAGGGCGGTGACTGTAGACTGTAGAGTGTCCCGGTTTGAAGCCATGTTGCGAGGAGACCGTGGTAAGAGATTCTGAGATGTATGGGAGTAGAAGACATTCCAGGATCTTAACCGCTGGACAAAGGAGGGAGATGGGGCGGTAGGAGGAGCCCTGGTTACTAGGTTTACCTTGCTTTAGGATCAGAATAATTATTGAATTTTCCCATATAGATGGAATGGAGGCCGTGGAGACAAAGATAATAAAGATTTGGGTAAGGAACTGAAGGCCACGTGGGCCTAGATGCTTGAGGTGAAGGACCGTGAGGCCGTCTGGATCCCGAGCAGAAAAATTGTTTGCGGCTCTAATAACGAGCTTCACCATGTTGGGGCTGAAGGAGAGAAGTCCCTGTCGAGGGGATGCTCAGCACAAATTTGACGCAAAAGACAGCGGTTGGATGGGCTTTGAGAGTGTGGAGCGATGGAGGTAAAAAGTTTACAGAAGGCGGTGGATATATTGCGCTGCGACGAGATGGAGGTCTGACCAAATTGCATTGGCTGATTGAAGGGAGGGCGGTTGCGCTTTCCGCCTAGGGAGCGGAGGAGACTCCTGTGCTTTGACTGGTGAGTGCATCTGTTGCACGATGTGAGATGTGTCCGCCAGGTGTTCCTTGCATGGGCCTGTATTGAGGTAGTAATTTCCAGGTTGAGTTCTGGAAGCCGGAGGTCGTTTGGGTTGTACGCCTTGATGTCATCCCGTTGCTCTATAAGCAACCGTGTGCCAGGGTTGACTGAGGGGGAGAACTCCTTTCGAAAACCGGCATGGATGTGCTGCTTGGCAGCAGCCGCCAGGACGCCTCTAAGGGTAGACTCACCTCTGCACGAGGTGGGGGTAGGGTCCGCCTTGAGCGCCGTCTCGACTGTTGCCGTGAAGGCAGGCCAGTCCGCTTTCTTGAAGTTGGTATAAGAGCGGGCTGACCGGGGAGCCGGGGAGTCAACGGAGGGAGGTAAATGAATCAAGGTAGGTAAGTGGTCGGAGTTCAGGGCGACCTGAGGAGCCCATGAGGTGTTGAGTAGCAGATGCCCGGTAATGAGAGCAAGGTCAGGTGAGGAACGCCACCGTGACCACCAGGGCGGTCCCTTCGCTCCAGCGCGTATCCGGGGAAAGAGGGGGGCGGGATGCAGCTGATAGATTTGTCTCCTGGATAGTACAGGCAACCGCAAAATTGTACTGGGCAAGAAAGGCAGCCAGTTCAGCTGCGCTGGATTGGATCCCATTGCATTTAAACTGGAGGATGCAGAGGCGAGTGGAGGCCAGCACGGGGGGAGGCCAGGGAGGGCGAGGGGAAGCGGGGTCTGGCTGGGATCAAGTCAGACCATCTGCACGTAGGGCAGATCCAGTCTGCGGAGTAGAGATGAATGGAGTGAAGGCCGGAGCACCGCTTGTTGGTCCAGGCGTTGCACCTGGAGCCCAGGAACGAGTAACCTCGCAATGTAACCTGGAGGGAGCAGGCTGAGTAGGGTGCGAGCCTGGGTTGGGATGGATACCCTGGGTTAGGAGAAGAAGAACGAGCAGGAAGAAGAGGTGAGAAGAGGATAGGGCGTAAGGTATCCCAAGGATGAGCGGCCAAAGATATGGGTAGGGGGCAAGGGAGGCCGAGATTCCTCGGTCCGTAAGCGAAAAAAATGAGTGGGGAAGGGCCTCAATCCGGCGGCTATCCGGGGGGGACTCTGCTGTTTGGCCTGTCCCAAGGGTACCGTATGCCGGGTGCACCCGGCCGACGCGCAGGCCAAGGTACCTCCACGACGAAGACGCGGCAGAGATCGGGGGCGAAGAATTTTCTTAGAATTGCATGTTTGTTATTGTTTTACCAATGATCACGTGTACGAAGATCACTATGGGTAATGTATACCAATCAAAGCAGACACCAGATACCAATTCATGCAGTGTTTGTCAATCGGTCAAAAGTCTGCGATCGGACTTGAACGTCAATTTATGGTCAAGGTTGCTTGATAGAGAGCTTGGAAAGATTCCAATATCTCAAGCTAAAGGGCCATAATTTAATAATTTACAGTCTGGTCATTTAGAGTTGTCATCTGCCCAATTTTCTACTATGGTACCTAACTGGAAAATCAGGCAGAAGCCTACAATGAGTGGGACAAAAACGCCAATGATCGTGAAGAAAATCACCTCTACCTCCTTGCCATGCATTGGTCCTTGCTCAACTTCGTAAGATTCCTAGTGTTTGAAGTAGGTACCTATGCCACTTTGTAGCCACAAGAATTCATATTATTTAGGAAATTTCCAATTTTAGTACAGGTCCTTTGCAGGAAGCAGGCCAGTCAGCTTCATAAAAATGAACAAGTGTGCTTGCTGAATGGGTAACTGGGAGAAGTGGGAGAAGGCAGCCAGTAGATCGGAATTTGGGCCTATAGTAGGAATTCAGGCAGGGGCGAAGAATTTTCTTAGAATTGCATGTTTGTTATTGTTTTACCAAAGATCACGTGTACGAATATCACTATGGGTAATGTATACCAATCAAAACAGGCACCAGATACCAATTCATGCAGTGTTTGTCAATCGGTCAAAAGTCTGCGATCGGACTTGAACGTCAATTTAAGGTCAAGGTAGCTTGATAGAGAGCTTGGAAAGATTCCAATATCTCAAGCTAAAGGGCCATAATTTAATAATTTACAGTCTGGTTATTTAGAGTTGTCATCTGCCCAATTTTCTAGTATGGTACCTAACTGGAAAATCAGGCAGAAGCCTACAACGAGTGGGACAAAAACGCCAATGATTGTGAAGAAATTCACCTCTACCTCCTTGCCCTGCATTGGTCCTTGCTCAATTTCGTAAGATTCCTAGTGTTTGAAGTAGATACCTATGTCATTTTGTAGCCACAAGATTTCATAGGGTATTATTTAGGAAATTTCCAATTTTGGTACAGGTCCGGTGCAGGAAGCAGGTCAGTTAGCTTCATCAAAATGAACAAGTGTGCTTGCTGAATGGGTAACTGGGAGAAGTGGGAGAAGGCAGCCAGTAGATCGGAATTTGGGCCTATAGTAGGAATTCAGGCAAACATGAAGCATCCAGGCTGTGCTTAGGAGATATGCGCTGATGATTTTGAGAACAGGCGAAGAGGCAGTTCTGCATTAGAAGAGGAAGTCATGAGGTCCGCTTAGGGATATTAGGTATAGGAGGCAACAGATTAAATTATCCTTGATGACCCCATATCGCCCCAGCCCACTGATTTTCTGCACCAGGAGGCGTGATGGACTCTAAAATTGCACACTCGTGATGGCAAATATGCCCATCAAGTCTGGAAATTTTATCGGAGAGCAGAAGGAGGCCGGGGAGTGAAGAGGTTGACGATGCACAGGTGGAGCTGTGAACGGTGGTTATGACTGTGGGCTTCACAGTAGTGTCGCCATTGAGGAGAGAGGAGAGCCGACATGCCACCTAAAGAGTATATAGGGAATGTCGCGTTCGTCGACCAAGGGGAGGAGGCCGCCGCCTCTGCCTTGTCGTTCTCGCCATTCATTGTCGTTCAGAAGTTCATGCCTCGAAGGAATGTATATATATATGACAGTCACGTCATTATTCGTTAGGAAAGCAAAATGTTATACTGCACTGGATTGGGATCCGTTACAGTTGAAATGGAGAACACAGAGAGAGGGCGGAAGAGGCCAGGACTAGGGTATGGCTCAGGTAAAAAGAGAGAGCGTGCCTGTGCAGGAATCAAATCAGCTTCATCTCAGGTAGAGCAGATCCAGCCTGCTGCTGCGTTAGAACTCAGACCTTAACGCCAATTGTCGGTCCAAGTACAGAATGTTGAGCCCAGGAATAAGCATCTTGCCCAGCTTACTGCAGAAACACAGATACCATAGCAGGGGTGTGAGTCGGGGTCAGGGTGATGCTCCTGGGATATGTGAAGAAGGACGGACTCTGATGTGAAGAAGACAGGGCAAAGGAGTTTCCTAGAGAACCAGAAGGTCTCCCCTTTGAGAAACATGGGCGCACAGGCCAAAATTTCCCGAACCCTCGAAGGAAACTAATAGAGCCAGTTTTCGGCACTTAAGGTGTTGTTGGGAAGGCTTCCACCGCTTGCCCTGACCAGCGATATCCCGCCAGTTGTGCCTGGCCGACAGGGCAGGCCAATGTTCCATCACGACGCAGGTATAGCTGAGACCAGAAAGAGGAAATTGCGTTTAACGTAGAGCGTCCAAGCTAGACCGACACTTCTCACCGAGTTAAAGCTTTATCTGTTTTAACTGACCCAGGAATACATATATAAGTCTTAGCTCGGATGAGTGTCATGGCGACGTTGCTCCCGCGGTCTTGATGATGCTAAATTAGTGTGTATAAATTTTTCCTACTTAATCAATCCCTTTGCTCATGAATTAAATACCCTATATATATTCTCTAATCTTATTCACTGAATTTACCAAGGCCTTTGACAGCCATCCATTTGTGCAACGATCAACGAAAAACATAACTGCGATTCAGTTATTTATTGTGCCTATGGCAAAATTAGTATGAAGTAGTAGAACTCTGACCTAGGAATATCGTATTCCGTGTTCGTAGTCAAAATAATTTTTTATGAAAATTTATTGCCCGCCAGTGTTGGAAAATCTCTTCTAAGTTATTCTATGAAACCACAATCCATTGAACGCGGTCAGTTCAGTTGATTGCATCGTAATTTCATTGAACAGATGGTGCCTCCAGCTCTGGGCTGGAGAGGGATCCTCCGCGTGGTATATTACGGGGAGGCACGTCAGCCAGCTTCCACGGGCCTAATGGACACACTAACTCAGCGAATGGACGAAACGTCGCCTGGAATTCTCTTCCGTCTTCTCCAGGTTGTAAAAATCTCATGCATATGTTAATGCTTCGTGATTTTAATTTTTTTCAAAATGGTACTTAACCACAACTTTAAGTTGGCTTCTAAACTCTTCCTAGGATTCCCTTCTCATGAAAATTGAAGACACCTCAATACTGGAGAAATATCCTGCCACAATTATTAGTTATTTAATTATAATATTTTATTCCTCGAAGCGTGTCCAACTGTCTATAAACATTTCTTGTTTTTTTTTAGCGCATTAGCTCATTTATGGAAAAATGCAATATATTGTGCTCGCCATGTCCGTCTGTCTGTCTGTCCGTCCGTCTGTCCGTCCGTGACCTCAAGTTTCCGTCGACGAGAAAATGCGCTCTCTGTCACTCACTGCAGTGAGTACTGAGTTATATTTTTTTGAGTCTAAGCTTGAAATTTGATATTTATTATCATGGCTGTATTGAAGGTGTACACGAGATGCTGGGAGCGCCGTGCGGCAGCGATGCAGTGGGCGCTGCTGTAGGAGACTGGCAGCACACGCTGGCCCTCAGACGGCGGCAGGGGCTGCTGGCTGACACTGACAGCATCGATGGCATCGCTCAGGCCATGGAGGGCGACAGCGACCTCATGGCTGATGACATCAACGGAGAAGTCAAAAGAAGGTGCGATTTATTTCGTTGCTTTATTGATCATTATTAACATTTTAATATGGTAACAGTGCTTTAATAAAAACGACTTGTAATTGCTGAGAATGTGTGGCTATTCATTAGGAGGCGTTGAAGTTTCAGGCGGGCTCCAACTGAACAGTTGAATAAAAATAAATTGAACATGTAATACTTAAACTTTTCTAAGTTGTTCATGCAGAGGTCATCCACGACCTAAATTACTGATGTTGCCTCTCATGATAAACACAATATTCAATGTCANAGTATATGTTATGACTTGGTGTGTCATGTACTAATTTCATATTTTTTTTTGCCAAAAGTGTGATTGGTATCATCTCTCCAAGCATTTAAGAGTCACGGTTTTCTATTGACATTTACGTCAGTGCGACGGTTTCCCGTCGACATTTACGTCAATGCGACGGTTTCCTATTGAAATTTACGTCAGTGCCACGGTTTTCCGTTGACATTTACTTCAGTGCCACGGTTTTCCGTTGACATTTACGTCAATGCGACGGTTTCTCGTCGACATTTACGTCAATGCCACGGTTTCCGTTGACATTTACTTCAATGTCACGGTTTCCGTTGACATTTACGTCAATGCGACGGTTTCCCGTCGACATTAACGTCAATGCCACGGTTTCCGTTGACATTTACTTCAATGCCACGGTTTCCGTTGACATTTACATCTGCTGGGTTCCGGGACACGTGGGGGTGCGGGGAAACGACAGGGCGGAAGAGGCGGCGGTGGGCGCTGCCTCGTCGGACGCGGCCATTTATAGGGAGGACGTCCCATGTCACGACCACTATCCCCGCATCAGGACCAGCGTTCACCACATATGGCGCGAGCTGTGGCTGAACACGAGAAACAATAAACTGAGAACAATCAAGGACAGTGTAACAACATGGAGCTCATCTTATCAGAGATCTCGACAAATGGAGATAGCGCTGTGTAGACTGCGGATTGGCCATACGCGCCTCACCCATGGCTACTTGATTGAGCGACGCCCTATACCATATTGTGACGACTGCCTGGTGCCCCTGACAGTTCTGCATGTCTTGGCGGAGTGCCCTAGCCACAACGACATTCGACAAAACTGCTACCTTAACACATCCGCCCTTGATCATGACGAGATGCTCACTAGAATGCTGCGAGAGGACCGGCGAAGTAACTTCGAAACCGATAACCTTAGACGATACCTGATGGAATGCAACCTGCTGCCGGAGATTTAGCATGACCCCGTAACGTCACCGCCTGTCGGTCATATGCACTTGCACCACCGCCGTTCGCGAGACTATAAGTGCACCGTCCCATCACCTAGACCAGGCCTCACTAAACTTGTGCTGGAGTTGATACATGAAGTCGGAGCGGACCCTCGCTCCATGAGCAGGGAATCTACCGCCCAGCCCCTGCGCCTAAAATGGATCAGGCTATAAGCCTTGAAGACGGAAGAAACCAAACATCTTTGACGTAACTGAAGATCTCACCTCCGGCGCGAAATAGATAGCTATCTGAAGCGCTAGTAAATCTGCTACTACTACTGACATTTACTTCAATGCCACGGTTTTCCGTTGACATTTGTGTTAGGGCTATGGTTTTCCCTGACATTTACGTCAGTGCCACGGTTTTCCGTTGACATTTACGTCAGTGCCACGGTTTTCCGTTGACATTTACGTCAGTGCCACGGTTTTCCGTTGACATTTACGTCAGGCTCACGGTTTTCCGTTTATATTTACGTCTGGATCACGGTTTCCCGCTGAAGTTTACGTCAAGGTTTTGTTTTGCAGGAACGCCATTCGCGAGTTGACGCAGCCTCTGGCATTGCGCAAAGAAATAAAGCGCCGCTTAACTGCCTCCTCAAAACGACGGTCAAAGAAGCTTTCTTTGTGGCAGAGAACGAAGTACTCCATCAGCATGAGTGCCTTCAGGGTGAGCGTGTATTAATATATATCCCATCCTTGCAATTCTGTGATTTGCATCGTCTACTTTCCAGATGCCTATTGTAATTTTTAAACTCGTGTGGTGAAATATTCTTCGTTATGAGGTAACTCAGGTTTATTTTCTTTGCCGGGTGTGAAAATAATTCGTATTAATGTGATATTACTCGCTAAAGATTCCATGCAAGCTGGTTGCTTGGAGCTCTTGGGTGTAGCCGAAACCTTCCTGTGAATTGAAATGTATCAACACTTTACTCGACCTTATTTGTCATTTAAAGTATTTATATTGCAGATGAGTGAGCGCATGAAGGCGGCTCTGCACGACTACTCGTTGTGGCACAACGACCTGAAGATCATAGAGGGCTCCTACGGCACTGGCATCGGCACTTACTTTGTCTTCCTGCGCTACCTTCTGCTTCTGAACCTCTCCGTGGCGGCCTTCTTGTGAGATCTATTTTGAAGTCGACTAATGTTATTTTATCTCATTAGTACCAACAGTTTATAGTGAATTCCTGGTTATATATAATTATTATAATACTAATTTAAAACTGGATTTTGCTTCTAGGTTTTTCTATTTGAGATTTTCCAGCAACCGTCATAAACCTTGAAGTCTCGGTGACTGTACGATGAACATCATTTTTGCTAAACAAATGTGCTGAAGAATTAAGAAGATGAGCGCCTTTTACACAGTACAATTTAGTGATCAGTTTTGTATCAAATGCACACCAAAGTTGTATATTTATTTTCAATTTGTGTTCCTGTTTGCATCAAACGCTAATCAGCCTTAAATTTTATACTCATATTCCTGGTTCGATGTTGTGGGGTTTATCATTTGTCTTCTATTTCTTCCTCATACTAGCATTATTTGCCTGCAGAAGCCTTCTGCTGCTGGTCCCTCAGCTGGTGGGAGAGCAGCAAGGCAACGTCATCTACTCTAATTCAAGCGGCGTTGATGTGCTCGACGCGAACGCGACGCTCGCTCAGCCGCCGTTCAAAGGCTTCGACTGGCTCACCGGCGCGGTCAGTCTTACTGACTTCCTCGAGCGAATTTAGTGACTTGGTGTGGTGCCTGATGAAATAAATCTACTTTGGTTCATGAATACTTCGAAGTTAGGATGTTAGATACTTTAGTTCGAAGTTAGGATGTTAGTTTCCTTCTAAGCAGCTTCTACAATTGGTAGGGATTTTTTACGTGTTAGTTTCACTCCTTAGTATAATTCTCAATTTTTATGCAGAATGAAAAAGGATTATAATTCAATGTAGAGGCTTTTGTCCTTTTAATTCGTCTGACTCAAATTGTGAATGGTACTGATACATAAAAACCCGTTGGTACCTGATACATAGAAAACCTTATTCATAAAAAATTGTAACTCTCATCCGAAGTGTATGAGGGCAAATGATGAAGCACACGAGCTGCTCTTCGATATGCGAATGTGATTACTTACCAATAATAATGCTTATAATTATTGTAACATTACCATGACTCATGTATCATCAATACTATTCAATCAATTCATGGAATGGTGCCAGACAAGCCTGATGCATCCATCTCGTTAGCTTGCTGTCAAACAGAAATATAACAAATTCATGTCTTGTTTCGCCTAGCTTTTATCGGGAAACTCTGAAGGTATGTCTTTCTTTTTTGTGTGATTCCACTTGTAAGGTTGTCTTCCTGATGCCCATATTCCAGCCTGGCCCTCCTGTGTTCCCGTGTGAAGTGCACGCTAGTCTAGTCACCTTCATTCGTGTCTCTATAGTCTTATCATCTCCGTGGTAAACAATAGAATGTTTTTTGACCTTTTCTCCCCAGTTTGAACCATTTTTCATAGTGTACTAACTATCAATCTTGCAGTTATATAATCATGGTGTGCTATTCCTGTGCCTTTAAATTACAGTAAAGATCATACAAGCTCAAAAAACGTGAGAAGAGTCCCGACAAAAATTGGAAGACGTGGTATTGGGCTAGGAAGATTTTTTTCATTTCGTATCTACTGTTGTTAACGTCCCTCTTTTTTTCGTTACGCCTGTACATGACACGAATTTACTTCTTGAAGTGAGCCTCAGGGGTTATCGCAATGTTCTAAGATGAGAATTTTGTTGTACATTATGTGTATTACGTGTGACTTATGAATCTGTTTTAAGACATTATGACCTCTTATGCAGAATTGTGTGTGCCTCGTCTATTAATTTTAAGTCACTTTTTTATTGTCTTATAGTTTCTTTGCTGTTTCACTATTATTCTGAGGTATTCCATTTACTTCATCTTTGTGTTGTGACCCTTAGCCTACAAAAGTGATCAATGCTTCACTTGCTACAATGCTATTCCTACGCGAATTGTAAAATTCACTAAGCTTCGACTTGTGTCAGAGTTCCTTATTCTAATATTTTCTTTTAAATTTTGAAAGTAGGCTCTGCTTCTATATCTTTAGATTCGTTGTAACCTAATTGAGTTATAAGTATCGCTAGGCAGATATTGTTATCACGCAGATATCGCTCGGTATTTTGTGTTCTCAATTTCTCGGGCCGATCGCTTTACGTTTACGTTTAGATGATTAGTACTTAGGCTCGGCTGCAACTCGGGCTTTATGTTAATCAACTTTGATTTGCTTAAATTTTGCATGAATGCAACGGCTTCACCTACTTAGGAGTTTTATTGAGACAAAATGCTGTTGATGAATATTCATATGAGTAAGTGCAGTCTTGTCATTTTAAATAATAGTTGAAACATATTCGTTATTTTTAGGCAAACTGTTTGAAGTTATAGCGTTGCTTGCTTGCAGGGATGGCTACTGTGGACGGAGCTCTACTATTCCGGCTACTCGAGCTTCAGCGTTTGTATGAACACGGACTGCACCAGCTACTATGACATGCGTCTCGCTTACATCTGCTCCATCGTAACTTGCTTCCTCGGCTGCATCGTTGTAATCGCGCGCAGGTTGGCGGGGCTTCCTTTAATTCTGTACACTGAGTCGTGTGCTTCGTTGAGCGGTTGTCTTCATCTTGATCGCATCATTGCCTATTTTTTTGCTGCACGGTTATAATCTTTCGTAAGCGTGCGTTTTTATTAGTTTTTTAATAGATAATACTCTTCTACTTACATCAGAAATTTGCAATGGGAGTAATGCCCATAATTAGTAATATATTACTATTTTATTCAGTTATTGAAACAAGTAATAAATGCAATAAGAAGCTCTGTATAGTGTATACAGGGCTGACGAAAACGTTTACGAAGCAATATTTTTGAATGCAAGTAACTTAGTGTTGTCAGAAAAGATTTCCTTCATTCTGCAATGTCATCGATACACTTATTGAAAAATATATTATTGTTCTCCAGATGTTCACACAGTCGTAACAATATTCAATGGATTGCTAAATTGGCAGCGCTGACTCGACAGTTTAATTTATTGAAAGTAATAAAGTATTTTGGCGGAGTAATTTTGAGTAATGTTCTCCTGACAAGATGATTGAGAGTAATGAAGTGTTGTGCCAGTAATTGAATGAAGTAATGAAGTGAAGTGTTATGCCAGTAATTGAATGAAGTAATGAAGTGAAGTGTTGTGCCTGGTTAATTGAATGAAGTAATGAAGTGAAGTGTTTTCACAGGGTGATCAACTTGTACAAAGAGCACGCCATGAACAACGTAGGAGACGAGGTGGGCACGACTATGGCCACGGTCGTGTTCAGTCTCTGGGACTGCGGCATCACCGAAGAGCGAGCCGCCAAAGTCAAGCATGGCAGCATCTACAACGAACTTAAGGCAACATATCTCATATTAACATAAGTTTATTTACTTAAATGTAATATATTGCCGCGGAATGTAGTCCCCCGTGTGCCACAAAGAAAAGAGTGTAGCACTACACTATATTTTCAACTTCACAATCCCACCCTTTACAGGTTTTAATAAACTAAATTTAGAAAGTTATTAGTATTTTGTGCATTATAATTCGACCGACTGGCATCTTTTTCATTAATTGCTGCCGATTTATAGTGGTCTTGGTAGCTCGTTTGTCGATTTGGCCTTTCCCAGGTAGTTTTTGATAATATTATTAAATATAATTAATTTCTAAATACATATAATTGGATAATGAAAACAAACGCATTGTTAGACGTCTTTTTCGTGGACCAATTTAGAACTCGCCGAACCAAGCCACATCGCGATAAGAAAACAGATTAAGGAGGAGTGTAGCAGGTACTTTGAAGTAGACTTAACAAATGAAGTCAAACACAGACAAAATTTCAGCTGCAATGGGGGACCCAATAATTTTCCTGAGTAACGCTGCTCATTGTACGGTACAGGCTACGGTGCTGGAGCTGCAGCAGCTGCAGCAGACGGAGACACGCTGGCAGTGGGTGGGGCGTCGCGCGGTGCAGGCGCTGTGCTGGTTTGTGGTGCTCTGCTTCATGGCCCTCCTCGCCTGGTTCGTCTACGAGCTCCTCGAGAACTTGCTGGAAAACTTTTACGAACAAGTACGAGCCGTCGAATATTAACGATGATTTTAGTTGGGATATTTTTTAGTTCAATGCAGATTGTGATCCCGTAAGTTTGGTGAAGTGAAAATAAATTAGCTCGTATTGCGAAATTGCTTCTCTCGGTAAATTATTTATACCAATGAATTGCTGTTCCTACAAAATAATCATGCCACGATGTTAGACCAACCAATCAAGCTGTGGCCGTAATCATCCTCGTTGTTTAATAATGTCTCTCCCAATATTAGCCCTATGCGATTTTTGATGTTGAATCTCGCGCGATCGTACGGCAAGATACTCTTCACCGCTTGCTGCCCTGCACCTGCTATTCTCAATCCAGTACAGTTTTCAAGATTACTTAAAGCCTTTAGTAGTTTTGTACTATCAAATGAAAAAATATATTAAATAAGCTCCTATAATTAGCCAAGTAACGAACTTGCCATGTTCATCAACCACAGTTTCTCTGGTCTGCTTACATTTAACTTGGCTGCTCATAGTGGCCTTAATGGATCGTACTGAACATAACCTATGATCTGAACTGAAAACAAGCACGCATGTTTGTGGTCGGTAAAAGCTTCTAACTGCAGCTTTTAATTACTTAAAGCCTTTAGTAGTTTTGTACTTTCGAATGAAAAATGATATTAAAAACTCTTATAATTAGCCAAGTAACGAACTTGCCATGTTCATCAACCGCAGATTCTCTGGTCTGCTTACATTTAACTTGGCTGCTCATAGTCGCCTTAATTCTCGTACTACCGAACTCTGGTCAGATCGGTGGATCGTACTGAACATAACCTATGATCTGAACTGAAAACAAGCACGCATATTTGTGGTCGGTAAAAGCTTCTAACTGCAGCTTTTAATTGCGGTTTAAGTGGTTTGACATGTATGTAACTAGTGGTTTAAGGCTTGAAATGTATGCGCTTTAATTATGATTCCTGTTAATTCTTCTCATCACTCTGTTTCATCTTAATGCCACTCTCTGTTTTTGTAAATTTTCCTATCTTGTGCTAGAGTTTAAAAAAGGAACTCGATCATTTCAACGTAAGACAAGAGAAATTAATTTATTTCTGGCTATTATTTAGTCGATTGAATGTCCCGTGCAGGAAATTGGACCAATTTTTGCAGCACTTTGTTCACATGTGCAGCAAAGCCAGCTGGACGGCTACATGTCGGAGGTGGGGACGTTGCTCGTGTTCCCTGTGATCGTGTCGTTCATGTTGCTGCTGCTGCCCATGATACTCGAGCACTTCGTCAAGCTCGAGCGATACTCCAACACGAGGATTGAAGTCGCGGTCACTCTCAGCAGGTATTGTGAAGTGGCGGTCACTCTGAGCAGGTATTGTGAAGTGGCGGTCACAATGTTGCCGATCTATTTGAGCAACATTTTTGTTCAATTAAAAGCTTGGACGCTCTAGCTTCGAATGAAGCATTTATTTAATCTACACTAATTAACTCCATTACTATTTCGATGTATTATTGACAGTAAAGCGATATATGTATTAAAATGTGATACATTCCAAATCCTGAGCCTTTTACATCCGATTTCATTCATTAAAAAATTATTCTCGGTTCTTTATACTGGATGCGATTCCATGGAGCAGCTTCTCGTTGTTTGTGTTTAACATCCTGCATGGAGCAGCTTCTTGTTGTTTGTGTTAAACGTCCTGCATGGAGCAGCTTCTCGGTGTTTGTGTTTAACATCCTGCATGGAGCAGCTTCTCGGTGTTTGTGTTTAACGTCCTGCATGGAGCAGCTTCTCGTTGTTTGTGTTTAACATCCTGCATGGAGCAGCTTCTCGTTGTTTGTGTTTAACATCCTGCAAGGAGCAGCTTCTTGTTGTTTGTGTTAAACGTCCTGCATGGAGCAGCTTCTCGGTGTTTGTGTTTAACATCCTGTAAGGAGCAGCTTCTTATTGTTTGTGTTTAACATCCTGCAAGGAACATCTTCTCGTTGTTTGTGTTTAACATCCTGCAAGGAGCAACATTACCAATATTTGTCTCACCTCCTCAGGACGACGCTGCTGGAGCTGCTGGTGCTCACGACGCTTCTTATCTTCTGGTACAAGAAAAGCCCGCACGTCGAGGATGGACAGACGCAAGCATCGTCTTCTGGTGACGACGATGACGCCACTGTGAGTGTCTCTTCCTATACAAGTTATATTTATTGTTTGTGTAAAAATAAAGAATTATTATTTGGAATCTGAATTTTTCATAGCGATGTACTAAATGAATTTCAATGTATGGAAACATGCATAATGATTCATGGTAACATAACAATGATTTTTTTGTAATTATTCTCATCACCAACAATAAGATGTTTAATTATTTATTTCCGCGCTACTTTCAATCCATGGAAATTTATTCACTAAGACAATACAGACAGTAAATAATGTTTCAAGTCTCCATGATCTAGAATGGAGGGTTTTTGAGTTTAACCACCAGCACGCTGCAATCCTCTCCCCGTTAGTCAATTCTTGGAACTTAAAGCCACTCTTTTTTTTATGGCTTCATCTCCCACTATCATGTAATTCAGCAATAATTCTATCGTAATTGAAGGGAATAATTGTATCACAATTAAGCGTAATACTTCCACCAGTAAGAGTGTTTGTTCACACAGTGCTGGGAGGCGTCGCTGGGCGCCGAACTGTACCGCCTCACCGTCGTGGACTTCCTTGTGCAATTCCTTGGCTCTGCGTTCCTGCTGGCGGCCTTCAGACTTGCGCCCTCCAACCGGTCCGTTGCGCCGGCTCTCTCTCTATGTCCTAAGCATGATTACTTTGGTCTGCATGATTATTACTTTGGTCTGCATGATTACTTTGGTCTGCATGATTACTTTGGTCTGCATGATTACTTTGATCTGCATGGTTACTTTGGTCTGCATGATTACTTTGGTCTGCATGATTACTTTGGTCTGCATGATTACTTTGGTCTGCATGATTACTTTGGTTTGCATGATTACTTTGGTCTGCATGATTACTTTGGTCTGCATGATTACTTTGGTCTGCATGGTTACTTTGGTCTGCATGATTACTTTGGTCTGCATGGTTACTTTGATCTGCATGATTACTTTGGTCTGCATGATTACTTTGGTTTGTATTATTACTTTGGTTTGCATGGTTACTTTGATCTGCATGATTAATTTGGTGTAAGTTCAAACTATCAGAACTTTCCTAAGTACACGTAGCGGCCGATTTCTTGCCTGTGATTGCTGGGTTTAGCTGGAAAAGCGGTCATTGATTGGCTGACTGAGGTACAAACTTATCTTTTTTTATTGTGGGGCTGCGGCACGCTTGGAACTGAGCGATCAAATTTAGGAGAGAATTCCAAAATAACGGAAATTATCTAGCACGGGCAACGCCGGGCTAACATGTTAATTTCTTGTGAAAAAAATGCGAAATAGCTTAGCTGAATGCTCGCAAGTTAGAAGATAGGAATAAGATGCTAAAAATAGTTCTGCATGTGTGTGCAATAACAATGCATATTGAAGAGTATAAATGTTGTTGTTGTCAGAGTGCTGCAAGTGATGGGAGAGTTCAGCGTGTCACGCAACACCCTGCACCTTGTCTTCACGCAGACGCTGGTCTGGGCCGGACTGTTTGTTGCACCTCTTCTCTCCATGGTCGCTGTCATCAAGTTTGCTATGCTCTTCTACCTGCAGAAAGTTAGCTCCTCATACTTATATGAAATAATTTACAACTTTGACTACATGCTTTACTTTGTTGTAAAATAAACTTCAATGCCTGGAAGCGCTTGCTGTTTGCTCTTCTTACTTATTTATTTCGTAGTTGGTTTACTATAAAACTATGACCATTTGAACTATTCTTGTTCTTTGAGGATGTTAAATTTTGACGAGTTCGTTGTCTGATCCATTCTTTGATATATCATTCGCAATTAAGTGATTAATCCTTATTTTGCTACTCTTAACTTATTGTAAACTTGTCCTAGTTTAGATGTGCTGTATTTATCTCCCTCCTTCACATCCAAGCATGAACATAATGACTAATGTAAGATAAGCGCCAGTTTCTGGTCTCATTTACTGGTTTTCCGTTTTAATACCTGACAGTTGATTTTATTTTGCTAATTGATTTGTATTTGTGTTTCTAGGACTGAACTTCTTCTGAACTGAACTGTGTGTTATGAACTGATGATGGAGCTGGTCTCCGGAAAGTTTTCTCTATAAATATGTGGGAAATTTTTGTGGTATTATCTGTGCTTTTCAAATTCCAAGCGCCAGTTTCTTGTGACCACAGTTGCTGTTGCGGTGCTCGCTGCCGCCGCTTGGCCGGCCGTGGCGCGCCGCCCAGACGCAGACCGTCTTCTTCGCCCTGATCTTCGTGTCGCTTATCGCCACGGCCCTCGCTTCAGGATTCATTATGATACGGTACTTGAGGAAATCCTAAATCCATGTTTCCGAAAAAGAATTGCCAGGTTAAAAATAGTCGTTTCGTGAACTGCACTCTTTATCATTGAACTTTATTCGTTGTATAAAAGTGATAATCATGAGTTAAAGTCACGAGAATATGTGAATGAAGAGAGCTAGCCTTGCTGTTCAGTCTCCTAACTAGTATCAGCAAAATATGGAGCTGTCTCNCTTGGTGGGCACGTGCCCGTACGTGCACGTCTTCTGGGAGCACGTCGACCAGGACGACCAGCTGTGGCTGCTCGTCCTCCTGCAGTGGCTCGTCAAGCCCGCCGTCGTGGCCGCCATCACCGTCTGCCTCATGTCAGTCCTGATATCAGAGTTCAATTATTAGTGTGCCTAAAAAATAAAAACTAAAATAAAAATTAGTGCCTAAACAGAGGTTTGATAACGAAGAAGTTATTACTGATGGCCTTTATTATGATGGAAAATTAATTCAAATCTATCTCCAACAACACGGTCAACTCGCGACCGGCGATAAATACACATTTCCTACAAAAGGCAAAGCTGTGTGTAGCAATGGCGTGCTTGGCTTCGTGATTGTATAATTTACGTTCAATGTCAACTTATTTTTGCTGCTAACTGTTATTTTTACCCTTATTGTAAGCCTCTTTCAGGTTTCAAAATCGGGTGAAAAAATTACCAGAAGATACTGATGTAAATCGAAAGCTTGGCTTCTCTTTCTTGTTATCGCTGTTATTATTCTATAATTACTATTCATTATAGATGTCGTTAATTATAGATGTCGTTAATTATAGATGTCTATAATTAGTAGATGTCGTCATAGTAATTATTAATTACTCTGCCGACATCTATTTGATGATTATGTCGATGTTCAGTACTTATGGCCGCCGAAAGAGCCAACGTCCGTATTGAACACAAGGAGGAATGGCTGTTCCTCACCCAATACTAACGCAGCTCAAAATTTGCACCTGTATGCTATTTCCCATTCAGATCAACATTATGTTCTAACTCCGTGACACTGCCGATAATTCTAAACGATGTTCCTTCCTAATTTATCATTTAACTGAGTCTTATATAGTCTATGTGTATATATTGTCTATAGTTTATAGTAGTTACTATTACTGCAATATTTGCTGTTGTCGTGCAGTGTGGCGGTGTACTGGGCGCGGGCGATGGCGCTGGGCAGGCAGGAGCTCGTGGCCGTCCTCAGGCGGCAGCTCGAGCTCGAGGCCAAGGACCGCGCCTTCCTCATCGACGTCGCTAATAAAATTGCCAGCGGTCAGTTGCTTGCTGACCTTGACCTCCTCGCTGACCTTGACATCATTGCTGACCTTGACCTTGCTGACCTTGAACGCATTGCTGACCTTGACCTCCTTGCTGACCTTGACCTTGCTGACCTTGATCTCGTTGTTGACCTTGACATCATTGCTGACCTTGACATAATTGCTGACCTTGATCTCCTTGCTGACCTTGATCTCCTTGCTGACCTTGATCTCCTTGCTGACCTTGACCTCTTTGCTGACCTTGACCTTGTTGACCTTGACCTCCAGGCTCACCTTGACTTCCTTGCTGACCTTGACCTTAACCTCCAGCAGACGGCTGCATTGACAATCGTCAATGTTATGCCCTACGTTTACCGTTGTCAATGAATTGCCCTTAATCCACACTAAACGTCGTTCATGCTACTCCCTTCTATTGGCTTGGTAACCTTCAAGTGCTGTCAGTAGACAAAGGTTTACTTTGATGTCAGTTGAGAACTCGTTGTTGTTGCATAGCTTATGTAAATGATCATTATACTAATGTTAGTAAATAACTATTTCATATTAATGCAGATCGCAGCTAGAACGGCTGGGTATTGTAGCTTCGAAATAATAATCTATTCTCTCATAACATCAAGCTTTGAAATGATGACGATGTTACGGCTGTTATTTTGCTACTAACTTTCTAGCACCGTATGAAATTTCTAGGAGTGCTGGCTATAACCAATTTTATGTACGTCTAAGCTGGTCTCGTATTGCCAGGTCAACCGTGCGTGGGGGTGCGGGGTGCGATGTACTCCCCGCTGCCCGGCCCTCCCCCCGCAGCCTCAGGCATCACGCGAGGCTCCTTTACGTTCTCATCGCCGCACACTGGCAAGTTTTTTTCTCCTGCTCAATAGTTTTTCAATGAATGTTTTGTTACGTTAAAAAAATAAAGAAATAAAACGAAATGAATGATGCGCTTAAATGTTTAAAGCGTTTAAATTAATATTTTGCCTATTGACATTGTCGGTTACTTATTTTACAAGTTTTAGCGGTCACGACTCATTTCTCGCCAATTTACGGTCTATTGTTCACTTTGAAGATGTCACTTCACTGAAAAGGGTCAATGTTTTACGATTATATCTACTGAAGATGCCCATTGCCAGGGCATGGTTCCTAAGCAAGCAACTACATAACTCGAACCATCCAGTCATGGTCTCAGTTGTGAGCTGCAGTTGTGTAGTTTTGCTTGCGTGTGCTATAGTTTATTGTTCTCGCACGAGGTGCCGACTTGTTGTTGTGAAGCCTTGAATTAAATTCGAAAGCCTTGTGAAACTTCCAAATTATTTAACCTATTATTAATTTCTGTTTCGTTTTTATTTAGGTTTTCGCTTCTGATTGTACTTTTATTCTAGAAAATTTTTTAACTGATGATAGGGCTGGTCTCCGAAACGTTCTCAAGATAAAATGAATTTACTTGGCGTTTTCTTAGCTTTGAAGTTCTTGTTGAACTTGCGATAAGTACTCACTTCTCTGTTAATTTTGATTTCAATTGTATGTAAATCATTTATTTATGTTGAAGACAGCCTGTTCTCTCAAACACGTCGAAGTTTTATTTTAATTGCAAGTGTTAAAGGTTTCGTTACTGCATCCTTTAATGGATAGTTTACCCATTTCTCTTGAATTTCCAGGCAGCACCGAATGCGTCAACGAGAGTTCAGTCTTCTCTTTCTCTCCTCAATCTCCCCAGGCCAATGGTGAGTGTCTGCAAACCAAGTCATGACGGGAGTCATTGCGTGACGCGCATGACTTGCCTAATAGGCGAATATTCTCGTGAGTGAGGGTGTCCACAGACAACAATGACCAATCCAACAATGTTGGATTGGTCATTACCGATCCAACTGTATCCGGAACCAACAATGACTTCTGTATTCCGGAGTTACTGCTCATATTGAAATAGCATTCACACTGAAGTTAGTCATAAATTCCTATATTTATATTCTACTAGGAAAACAAGATCATATGCCTTTATGACGTTTGTCCACAGGAAACAATTCCATGGCGCCTATGGACAGCTCAAGATCTTGAGACTTGCAAGTCAGAGGAACATGCCGCAAGCAAAATCTTGTCATTACATATCTTTTATTTCAGTCTACTTCTTTGCGAATATGCCATGTAAAAATGATTTCTCGCCGTATACGTACCTTAGTTTTTTTGAATTGGCAATAGATTCATTTATCGGTAAGCCTCCTAACTCATGATAGTGTATACATAGTCAATAATTAATTGAAAGAACAAGTTCAGGGGGTCGAGTCTACTATTATCTTGCATGAGGGAATCCTTGTAGAAGTGTTGCTCGCGAAGAAGCTCGTCGTTCATCACTAGGCAGCAAAATCGCCTTAATTGCCTCTTGTTACAAAGCTATTCCACGAATGCAAGTAAGGCTAGAGGCACGTCATTTCCTTCCACGTCTTCCTGGTGAAGGAAAATGAGGCACAAAACTGTCGCCTGTTTCTGAGCAGCAGCGCATTTAAATCATACCTGCTACGCTACCAAAGGGTTCACAGCAAACTGATTCAGGCGCAGAGGCATTCTAATTACTATTTAAGTGGCCGGACTTGAATTACATTTTTCTGAAGCAGAAGGTCGTAATGATCATATTGTCTAATGACCAGTGTGATTTATATTTAATTGGCCTAAATTAGTGGCTGATTCCTAATCGGCAATTCTATAATTATTTATACTCTAGGCAACACTATATTTAAGATCAAAATATGAAACCGAGGCCTACAAGTATTCTAAAAAGAACATAATTTATGCGAAGTAATTCTATAGAATCTGATTGTGATCTCCAACGATTAGCTTATAAGGTGCAAACGGAACCTCGATTTTAAGGTTTAAAATAAATAGATTTTTTTAATTTGTGTAAAAGAATCTTGAGAGACCAGAAGCGAGTTCACCAATACGATCCAAGATTATTTGCTTCCCTTTCTTTAATTCGTCGCACTCACTTCCTTATATAGTTGAACGTTATATAGTTGAACGTTTGTCTTATAAATTGGTAAATTTCCCCTCAAAATTAGTTGATATTCATGAAATTACTGATTTAATGGCCACTTCTCGAATGGTTTACTTCCCGACCGAAGTGGATTATTTCATTCCAGTTTGTAAAAGTTGCCTTTGTTGATGAGAGAACAAAAAACAGATTCTTGAACTTTGTCAGGGTCTATTTTCTTTATTTATATGACAGCGAGCTTCTAGTTTTATTCAGAAGATTGGTGGAGCGGCTTACAAACTGAAGAAGTTCAAGTATCAGCATTTATCTTCCCTTCATTGTTGCTTATGACAGGAGCACATATTTTGCCAGGTATAACTTAATGATGCGTCGAGTTTCAGTTCACCTGTAAATATTGTCCATGTAAAGAGTCATAATAACTCGATTTTAGTAGCATGATTAACAAGTGTGTATTTATGTTGTAAAATTGATCGATATATTTATTCCTTGTCGTTCATTTATCATTGAAGTGAGTTTCTCCAGATGAGAAGAAAAAGTCTTCAAATTCTATTTAATTGTGATCATTCTATGTCTGTAGAAAGGCTTCCTCAGCTCGTTTCCTTCAATTATTTTGATTGAGATTTGTTTCTGATGCAACAATTCCCACTAGAATAAGAAATTACGTTCCAAATCTGATGGTCACATCACAAAATCTTCATCCTATTTAGTCATTTCATCACAAATTGAACAAAAAATAACATTCGTGAGTCACGCGGTATTTACGCAAGTGTTCTTAAATAACGTATCTTATCCCCTGCTACTATACTCCAACAGAGCTCGATGCTCTGTGAAAGCTCGATGTGGGAACTATTCTATTATTATTAATAGAATAGTTCCCGTTAATTATTAATAATGTTATTATTTGATTATAGCTATTATTTGTATTCTTGAACTATGATGTTACTCGGTGGCTATTATTGATTGATTCTTCTCAATGTTTCCCTTGCATTTAACGAAGTAACTGTTCTTTTCTGTTGCTAATATATATCAGCGCTTCATTTCGGCCTCATAAGCAAGCATAATTGAGACGCCGGCTGCACTCCCTGCAATTCGGCTCGGTCTTCATGCACACAGAACTAGATACGCAGTCCTGTATTGCTGAGCGTCACATGGATAAAAATTCTGTCGCTTTTTGCTGTTCATAATAACCGTATTTATGCAAGTAATTACCTATTGCTATTTCAATTGTTACTCAGTCCGCAATTGTCTACAATGATTCCATAAATTTTTGCTATGTGATGATATCATGTCCCGTAAGTCGTTGACTTCGATGGCATCATTTGATATGTTATGATGCGTAAATTACCGTCTCCCAAATCAAGATCTATTTGCATTTCATTTCAATATTTCGTATTAGGAGCAATATGAGTAACGTCCCGTTCTTCTCGACATTTTTCCAGTATATTCATTGTTATCTAACGTTACATTTACTGCGATCAAACGTTAGTATCAATGTTCTGCCATATTTAGGCCAGTAAACTTATGAAAAACGCATCCGACGTTCCTACGTAGTACTAGTGAAGAGCTCAATTTTATGGTTCCTGCAATCGTGCGCTCAAAACCATACATTATATATTTTTGTATTACATGGTGTATCCAACATTTTTTCTTCATCCTCTATCGTGGTTTTGTGGTGATAGAAACGATGTAGAATTTGATATCATGTATAACAAGTTTATTTCGCGCCGCTCGGGCAATACACGTCTTCATACACGTGACGTAAAATAACGTCGACTCACAATATGGAGAACTGCGTCCCAGCGAGCAGGTGTAGCCATGGTTGAATTAATATTAATTCAACCATGGGTGTTGCAGCGCTCGACTGTACATCGCATGCTCCAGTACAGTCGATGTATGCGTGACATCAACGCCACGCTAATATCCAACCATCTCTTCTGATGAATTATATTGATTCTTTGGAGTGATAAATAATAGCGTACAAGATATGCGAATCATCTAGTCATACTTACAAACTGAATAAAAAATTAATTCTCACCTAGTATTGAAGCAATATTAAATAATATATCTTTCCCTTAGTTTAAGGCATCAACATTCTAAACTTAACGACAAAGTGTTGAGAACAAATTGAACGATATTAAAAATTATCTTATGTCGACAACAGAAACGGTTCTAGAAAAAGTAAGAAAGCTTTGGTGTTTTCCACGTGTGAATTATAAGAAGCTGTAGCGGCCTAAAGTCAAGGTATGCACGCGATGATGCAGCCATGTTTGTGACGTGAAGTGCATCTAATATTGAGCCGTCCATTAATTACTTAGCCGCCAAATAATGTATGTGGTTAAAGGGAATTCCTTAGAGCAGCGGTCATGAAATGAAGTGTGAGGCTAGTGAAGTTCATGGGAATGAGTAATTGTATCCTTCCATTTACTGCAATCGAAATTAAAAGAAGTATTCCAGTTATGAAATGATTGGTGGACGTACTAATTTTACTTCCCACTTGCACTGATTTTTTCATGTCCTGCGGTACCCTTAAAAACCGTTGGCTATAAACCAACTTGTTAATTCAAGATAACTGCAAATTTAAAAGCGGCAAGTCTGGTGCTAATTTAAACAACGTTATGGAGTAATGGCAACGCGACATTTCTTAATATGTGAGCGAACATTTGTGAATGGTTCCTTGAGAAAACATTTGAACTAGTAGACAAATGATGTACAAAAGATCTGTTCATGTTATTAGCACCTTTACCTGGCTAGAAGGAATTGCCATACTTAAAACTATAGAAGCCTTGCGCTGACAATCATGAAAATTCTTGCCTATTGTGATGGATATCATTATTAGATTTAATTGAAAGAGGTTTTCTCAGCAGAAGAATCGTATGCTTTCCCAAATAACTAGAGTAGGTCTGTTGAATCTCGGGATAAATGGGAAGAATCGTTTGAAGAACACATGGGCTGATCAGTCCAGCTCTGAAATGACAGACACATTTAACATAACACAAAAGATCTGTTATAAGGATCTCTTATACGAACCAATAAGGTAAGATCGCACAGGAAGATCACCCACTGCAAAGTCATCGCGCTCTCCATGTTACGTTGGTTCGGACAGTAAACAGCGTAGATCACAAAAAATTGATAAGGTATTAATTTCACCAAACAATGTATAGAAGGAAACTTTTACAATACGGTTGAAATAAATATATATTCATATAAATTCATCAACATAGATTTTTTAGAGACAACAAAAGCATCAACTTTGCGCCTGTGACCTAAGTACTAGACGTTGACACCTCAGCACTAGACGGTGACGCCTCAGCACTAGACGGTGACACCTCAGCACTAGACGGTGACACCTCAGCACTAGACGGTGACCACTAGACCTGTCTCTTATACACATCTAGATGTGTATAAGAGACAGCCTCAGCAGGTATTGTGAAGTGGCGGTCACTCTGAGCAGGTATTGTGAGGAGGCGGTCACTCTCAGCAGGTATTGTGAAGTGGCAGTCACTCTGAGCAGGTATTGTGAGGTGGCGGTCACTCTAAGCAGGTATTGTGAAGTCGCGGTCACTCTGAGCAGGTATTGTGAAGTGGCGGTCACTCTGAGCAGGCATTGTGAAGTGGCGGTCACTCTGAGCAGGCATTGTGAAGTGGTGTATTGTCATTATAGGCATGACACTCTGAGCAGGTATTGACATTATAGGCATCAGCTTATTATAGGCAATATAGGCATTAGTTTAGGATAGGCATTGAAGTCTCAACAAAATAAATACTGACGCCTAATCAAGGGCATTGATGTATTCCAGCTCGGTGAACTGCGGCCCTCTGTTCACTATCTGATTCAGCACCTCCTGCACCACAACGGACAGACGTAAGTGTATGAAATATAAAGCAGTAGAGAGAATTCGATTAATTTCCTACGGGAAGCGTACTGAAGGCCAAACTTCGGATTTGGCACTGGATGAACGGCCGCATTCAAATTAACGTGAAAACGAAACATAAGAAAAGTACCATTTTTATATAATTTTCTGGGACAACTGTAGTGTTTACAGTTGACGTTTCAATGTATATAGCTAAAAGAACTTCCAACAAAAGTTCTATGAATAGAACCAGTAACAGACATGAAAATTAACCAACCTCGAGTACATATACTATCAGGTAATTTACGTACTTGCGGAGTCATGTAGAAGAGTTCATAATATTGTCTGGCGTGGTCGAGCGAGAGTTCTCGGGCCATAGTGATGTTGGTGAGCTGCTGCTGTAGGCTCAGGATGTTGCGACACATTCTCTTGATGCCGTTCTCGTTGAGGCGTCGGATGCGCGACGGCCATGACGTCACGATGCTCGAGATCAGAGGACCCAGACCCTCGAAAATGTACTGGCGAGTATGAAAACTTGATCAATTATAAGCCCATCAAGCAATTATGAATGAATTGACTTATGTCGATGGAATTTCAACTCAAGGTCAAAAACATAGTTAGAAAAAATCAGTGCGTTTTAAAGTTCATTTTTACGATTCGACCAATGAGGCTGTTTGGGCATGCTTACTAATTTCCATAGTTTTTAAAACCAAGCTCATTTATAAGACTGACCTTCAAGACCATACGCAAGTTTCATATAATTACTCTCAATTCAAAAATATTGGCTCTATTGTTGGATCACCAGGATCACTAACATATAAACTATCATCGAGACCTATTAACACTGCACCACACTGATGCTGACCTTGCACTTCCTCGCCGGCAGTGAGGCGGACAAGGCCTCGTCGATATTGGCGAGGTCTTTATTGAGGGCGAGCACCTCAGGGTCAGGATCCTGCGAGTCAAGCGTCGGGGCGAAATTGCTGCTCTCGCTAGCCGAGCGACCCACAGACAACAGGTAATAAAAACAGTGAACGCGAACCTGCACACGTAAATTAGAACAGAAATTAAAGTTTGTAATAACTTTCATAAACGCAAATTAAATAGCATTTTTCAAAAACCAAAAAGATTCTGCAAGTGTGATTTGAATCTATGCTTCACTCAACAAGAAAATTTTTTGGTTAATATTTACTGTTTAACCACCACATTTTCATATGCCAAATTTATCGTACTAGTAGGCGCATTATCACCGACCTCAAGATGCAGAACAAGTAGGCAAGTATGGGAGAGCTCGATGAAATCCTGAGCGAGAGAAGACAGCGTCTGGATGGCAGCGGTGGGGATGAGAGCAGGACGCACTAACGTGTTACCTGCAGTAAAATGCGCTTAATAATATCATCGTTCCATATCAACAACTAATTAGGATTTGTAATAAATTGGTGAGTGGGAAAATATACCTACCAAGTTAGATTGTTTGACCATCACCAAATGCGTAATAATAAAAAAAGTAAACAACGTTGTGCTGAAACGCAGCTCAAGTTAAAATTAAATATGCAACACTATGAATGATAAAAAGGAAAATTGGAAATAATAGAATATCTTCGGAATGCCGATTGAGGAAAATTAGTAGTAAGAAGGCAAAAAAGATTTTCTTTATTAAACAGGAAAATATTTCTCTCACCAGCGCCTGCAGTTGTCGTGCCATCGCCGTACGTACGTGAAAAAGTGTCTGCCAGGCGTACGATGCTCGTACCAAACCACTCCTGAATAAATAAAATTTTTAGGAAGCGAAAAAACGATCCTCTACCGAGAGCGCAGAGTTTGACACATTTAATGAAACACAATGAAAGAATTTCAAAATTTCATAGTGGAGGAATTTTCATCCTTTCATCACAATATAAAAGTAATTGACTACCGAAGTAACAGCAACTGACCGTAGTGTGGCGAATAACAGTAAAAGAATCATGTTTATCACCTTAATTCTCTGTCAAGCGACGATTACTCTAGTAACCAGGTATTATAATGCGAAAATCATTGATGATGGTTAATGTCTTCACAAGCAAATGAATGAAGAACGCCAACGGTACAAAAGAGATATTTTAGATTGACCATAGTCTGGTGCAGGAGAGCCAGGGTTCTGAGGTGCGTGTGGTCGGAGAGGATCTCGTGAGCAGGGATCAGCTGCTCGCCTAGACTGCCAAGCAAAATTTCAGCTTCTTTGCGGTTGCGCTCTCGCACCTATAATAAATGAAATGGTAAAAAAACCGTCAAGTAACGGTTGAAATGAGAATGGCAAAAAAGGAAATTATAAAAGTCACTTCATTTGATAATGAAACACTCTCAAATGAGAGCGAGCGCCAGGTTGATCGACGAGGTTGCGATACGCACGCGTCTAAAGCGCTGCCGTTTCACACACTCAAGTCAGTTATATAAATGTTGTAATTGATAAATTATAAATTTCGAGCCATTTTTTTTGAAGCAGAGTTTAATTTGTTGACCATGCAGACAAAAGAAACATTGATTTGAATAATTAATCGAGAGGCAAAGCAGGATAAGGCAATTGTAATCTACCATATTAACCTTTTCCTCGAGGAAATAATTGGAGGAGAACTAGAACACAATGATAATATGTCTTAAAAAAATAATGAATAAATACTAGCAAGTTTTTCTATTATTTTGTAACTATATTGTGGAATCAGCATTCAAACAAACATAGCAAGATTGTCAAAGATAACCGACAACTTCTGTTATCTCTTCCGTCAGCTGGTAGCGCTGCTGCGCAACACGAAGCCTCACCTCGTCCGGGCTGTCTTCCTCAGGTGACAGATCTTTGACGCCATCAGCACCCGTTGTCAGCGCTCGCCAGTTGGGCAAATCTCTGTAAGCAAAGAATAAAATTCAAGGAATGTATGAAAACAAGTTTAAATGATTCAAGATCATTATTGAATCCCAGCGAAAAAAACATAGTCTAATCAGTACTCCAATACTGTTGTTGCTTATATAAATTACGAATCTGTACTGTCACGCAGCACGCATCAGCAAATAATGACAACCATGACGATACATTCAAGGAATTGGTCATGCTAGAAATGAACATAGAGCATTAGTAATTCCGTATTCATTAAAAATGAAATAAATTTAGAGCTCGAACAGCGCTAGTCTAACCTGCAGAAGAGGCAAGTCAGGCTTGTTGCCAGAAGACACGGCAGAGGCACTGGTGGCTTTGTAAGTTGAATGTGAGGTTGTCGTCCACAAGTCCAGCGCTTTGGTGGCCTGCTCTTGTCGCTTCGCTGTGTCCATGTGAAGACGCACGAGGAAAACGTCGCGGAGCAGTTCACTCACAAACACGTGTAGGCTGCACTGTTCCCTGTAATCGTTTTTACATGGTATAAGTAGCAAGTGATAAAAAAACAAGTGTTCATTCAAATGATTCTTGAATGAAGATTATAAAACTTAATCAGAAATTAACAACTCGCCCAAGGAAATAGTCCCAAATTAAAAAATAGTTACAGACAAGTTTGAAGTAATATTTGTTGAGAATTAAAGGGACCTCCAAGGCCAGCATTTCCTCACGGGACATCCGGAAAATTTGATGGAAGCCAGCACTTGGGAAAAATGCAAGCAATAAGAGAGAAGCCTCACCCTGGCATATATCCCATAGCCTCCTCTATCTCTGCAATGAACGACATGAGAGGGTTGTAAAGAACTGTGATGTTGTGGGGCGACGACTGGCAAACCATCAGTTTATCCAGGCTTTTCTTGCTGCCACCCCCTCCGCCGTCCCCTGCACAAAGGAAGCGCCGAAACTATAGTAATACTTCTTCAAAGTTACATGAATGAATAATGTGATCTAAAATATGCACCGCACTATGAGTTGAATGAACGAGTATTCATATGTTAAATTTTTGGAACTATCATTTCAAAGTGCATTCTTGGGTAGACATTATCGTACGTAATTTATACCAAAATTAATGGACCAGTCCAACACGCACCAGGATCGTCTAGAGAAGGCTGTTGCCCGAGCTGTTCTAACAAGTAACTGTTGAGGGTGATAGCGTGGTACGACGCATCCAGCTTAAACAGCTGCTCCTGAAATTTTCCTCTGAAAGGCACAGAATATGAATCAGAATCGAGCAATGGGTTAGACATTGGGTTGAAATTATGAATATTAAAATGACGAAATGTCGGGGAAGCAAGCTCTTGGAATGAACCTCAGCAAGCATGTACTGCTAACACAGATAGCAAAATTAAATATTTTTTGGCCAAAGTCAAAGAAAAAACTGATTCTAAGAAACTTGTATGAAATTGGAAAAAATACACAAGTGCTGAATGGTCTTACTTGTTACGAGGCTTTTTACTGAAGTATGACGAGATGTCTGTTGAGGCATCAGCAGAAAGTGTCACATTGCCAGGACTATGGTGGGGTGTTGTTGACAGTCCGGCTTGACTTAAGTCTACATATTGAGAGATGAGCACTTGCAACTGTGTAACAAAACCAAATATGTTTAACTGTCTTAGTGAAATAATTTCTAGATTGACGGTGACTCTATTGCTTTGAGCCAGCAACTGCCTAGTAAGAAAATGAACAAGTTAAAAATATATATAAATTAGATAAAAAAAATTTGCAGTTGATCGCAATGCAGTCATACGATATCTCCCAATCACTCAAACACAACAGCAAATGCTTGTCTTGTAAGTATGTCTGTTAAATATTATGTACAAAGCAATTCTCTAAAATATAAATTTTGGCATTAAAAATGTTCGAGGATAAAAGAAGACTCACGGCAGCCTGCACTTTAGACCAGACGTCAGCCAAGGTGTAGAGCTGCAGGGTAAGGTTGTGCTGAGCAGCAGACTCACGCATGCTGGACAGGACGGTCTCGTGGCCTGATACAACTCGTCTCAGCTGATCACAGCAGCTCTGATAACACCAATGCATTAATAAATACAATCACACTAAATCAATGCAAACAAAAATTATAAGAAAGATTGTATACAAAGAGCTGAAGTCAACAGTGACAACATTAAAACTGACAACCCACGCATCATAAAATGCTTGGAGGTTTCACATTTATTCGATCTACAAAGAATACTGGACTATTTAAACATAAAATTGTTTTACCATTTCTAAGAACGTTCGGAATATCTTGTTCCTACCTACACACCTGCATGAGTTCTTGCATCAATCTTGAATCTTTGGCATCAATTTTAATGAAACCATTTCTGGCAGTGGCCATGGACGGCTGGGCGGGCTGTCCAGAGGAAGGCTGAAGGGCGTCATCAACATCTGATGACGCATTATCCATCACTCGACGGTTCACGCGCTGGATGATTAGTGTGCATTCTTTCTGCATTCTCTCCTTGATGGTCTGGCATAGAAAATAGTAGTAAAAACTTGATAATGATCAGGTTCCGGGAAAAATTTATCAAGAAATACAAACAAATATAAAGTAGGTATAAAAAAAATCAGCTTGGACAAAGACTAATGATAAATATGATATACATAGTAACCCCACAGCGCAAGCAAGCAATAAATGTTTCTCCAGACACAAAATTACAGTGAAGGTGACGAGTTATTTTGAAACAAATGCATTGAAAATTGTAAAATGTAGTAGCGTGCGGCACCTCTACAGCATGAGGCAGCTTTCCCAGAAGTGCTAAGCACTCGACAATTGAAGACAACATTTGTTGAGGCTCGGAGTCCCCAGCTGCTTCATCGCAGGGAGATATGTCACACCTGCAAGAGAGGCATCTCATAAAATACATAATAAAGTATTTGCGTTCATATTATGAGAACATTTGAAGTGGCAAACGACATATCTACTTGAGTTCAAATCATTTCTATATCCACAACCATATCTATATCGCTTAATATTTAGCAGCAAAAAATCCTTGCCACCATGAAAATAAAAAAAGCTGATATAGCAACATTCCCATGTTTCAAAGTTATTTAATGAAAATTATTTAAACTGTAAACACAAAAAAAAAAAGAAATATAGCTAAAATTAAAACTAGACACAGAATACAATAACCTAAACTGAAAAAGGAAGCACTCTCACTTCTGTCCAGGAGTTCTATCACCATCAAGGGCATCAACACCAAGGAATCGACGAGCATTATTCAACTTGAAGCCTGAAGGTAGAAGTTTCCATGAGACATCATACTTCTATGAATTTATTTTAATGAGATATCAAAGCTCCTCAAATATATAAATGAAGTGTTTATACAGCAACAATTTTTCTATTATGGATAAATAGGTAAATAAGATAAAATGGAGCAGGAATGTGATGATTCACAGATGAAAATTTGGTCTTGATAACCAGTATTCAAATTGAATCATAATATGAATGTGAATAGTTGATTTTAGAACTTACATAGAGATTATTTCAATTAATTGACAGCTAATGCAGCTTATTATGCTTTTTAGTGACATACCTCTGTCCGAGCCAAGTCTACCCACAGCCCCACTAGCGTGTGATGAACCATTCCTTCTCAGATCAAGAGAGCTTCTGCTATGACTGTGGTATAGTTGTTCATGCAGGCACTTGATCAGTTCATTGTATAACGTCTGCAAACAAATATTATACAGTAATACAAATTTGTAACCAATTTCATAAGCAGCTTAGAACAGTGGGGCTATTTGATGTATAAGAATTTAACAATTTCTCATAACTATTTTTACAGGCAATGTAAACTTTTATTGAACTAATTATGTAACTAAGAAAATAAAACGATTTAACCAAATTATCAACTGGTTTGGTAGTATGCTATAACAAATTTAACATAAATCAAAAATAAAATTACAAATACATGATTGTTTATCAATTCATATTTTCATACCTGGATAATTGTGACTGCAACATACCAAATGTGTGAATTAAAAAGAAAAAGTTGCCCCACCTCTCCCATAAGTGAAGTATGAAAATATTACATTTCAGTACAATAGTACAGGTACCTACATATACTACTACTGCATAAGATGGATATCTTATTTGAAAACCAACCTCTTTTGCAGCAGTAAGATCCTGAGCAACCTGTTTGAGAGCTTCTATGCCATGTAGGTTTGAATTAAGTGTCTTGAGTGAAGAAGACAACAGCCGAGATGCAGGCAAATACTGCTTCTTGTTTATCAATGCTGTGATCTTGACACCAACATCTCGCACCTCATCTCTAATAATTGGAAAATTATTATATAAAACACATGGAAATGATAAAGATTTGACAGCTAGAAACGAGGAAGAACAAGTCTAGAATAAAATCAGTGATGCAGAAGATTGGATAATTACAAGACCACAGTTAAATATTATTGAGATGAGTTATTAAAAAATATTGATAAAAAAGAGGTAACCATTTGTAACCATTATCAGGAAAGAATCATTTCATCGATAGCTTCATGAGAATGAACCAGCTAAAATATTTCCTGCAATTATTCTACTTATGTTTCACATGCCAATTCTTGACAGATAATGAAACTAAAAAAAAATATATAGTAGAATAGTTTAATCAAGAGAAATACAACTTTCAAGTTTCAACTCCTAGCATAATATGATAGCCAAAAGGGATGACAATCAGTTTGAGGCATCAGCTTACATTTGTTGCAGTAAAGCCATAACATGCTTGTGTTCAACTCCCTCCAGCCAGCGTTCCTTGAGCTCATCTCTTTTGCAGTGCAATAAACGCTTGCAAGCAACAAGATTTTCCCGGATGCCTTGCATCTTGGTCCGTGACTCAGCTAATCGGCTGGAAACTTCACTGAAGATCTAAAAATAGCTCAAATTAAGTGATGGAATAATTTTAAATCAAATTCTGGAACACTTCATAAGTATCAAAACTGCAAAGGACAGCATCAGTAGGAGATATAAAATATGCTAATTTTTCTGATCTTTAATCTACCTGCACAAATGAAAACAAGTTTAAAAAAACACTTATAATTTGTCCTTTCTAATGGTGAAGTAAATTATTTCATCAGAATTAGGCAGTGAACAGCCATTTAATTTAAGAATAATAAAAAAGCCTTTATGCCAGAATTATAGATCAGTGCACACCTAAGCCTGCATAATGTGATAAAATTAGTGGTCAACAAACTAACCTGTAAAACCTTTTTAATTGATTCATCTTGATTGACTATATGTGTATCTAATTCCAAGTTACTTCGATTGAACTCTCGTTGTAGCTGAGCCTTCTCACGATCACGCTGTTCATTACTTTCACTTGCAGACAAGGTTCTGATGACTGACATCAATAATCCACTCTGCACATAAGATAGAAATTGTGATGAGTACATGCTGTAACAAAGTCTAAACTATTTGTAGCATCAGATTTCATTTAAATTGATAATATAATAATAAACCATGACCAATTGAAGGGCAAGATGGTAACTGTTTTATGGTCCTTTCTTGCCCCCTTCTCTTGGTTCTTCTTACTTAATTTTTATATATCAGGTTACTCAGGTAGCAAACCTAAAGTTAATAGATAGGAATGCTTGTTATGTCTCACAAGGTGCTTCTTGCTTTATGTTGCTTTCACCAATCAACAAAACTGGAATTGTTTAGGGATATCAGGGCAAGATAGAATGTTTTCTAAATAATATTAACTATTAACTACCAAACCAGCTTTCCATAAATTTTCTCAATTATCAAAAATCTCATTCTTACCAAACTGGATTGGAGGGTAGAATTTTCCAAATATTATAGATAAAAACAAAGGTGATCATTTCAAAGGTGATTTTCAAGAATTAGGTAATGTCCAAAATATCCCTTTAACTGAAATTTCATAAAAATTAGGCAAAGGGTCAAATACCATACAATGCTTCAATTGTTATTAAAAAATTGGTTAAAATTTACTTCAAAAGGTCAAACATGGGCATTCCATGTCTCAATCATGGGTAGTTTTTACTTTATTTTCCAGTTTGGTTAAGGTATTGTAATTATTTGTAACTGAGCATCATGTGTACTGAGCATACATATGATCTAACTACTTAAAAAAAAAAATTTTAGTAGATTTATTTTATCCTATTAAATTGTTAATAAAATTATATGCCATTATGGCATAAAATTGATCACTAGCTCATGTTTTTTCCTTTTTTTATAGCTGGCATCAGACCTAATGTTCAGTTTGGTTTGGATTGTTATACAATACAGTATTGATTGATCAGCTGCTAACAAAAATTCAATGATTTGTCACTGTTTTGGGAGGTATATTTTCATAATGTTTAGGGAATTCATACTATAGTCAGTATAGTGGAAGAGGTATTCATAACAGCTTGTAGATTTCAAGGGCTACTCTTCTAGTTGGCACTCAGACAGAAGTTGACTAACAACTCAGGGGTTTTGAACTTCAGAAGTCTAGGGCCATCATTAACAGATTGATCAGAAATCAGAACCAACTCTACCAACCAAGTAACCAACTAGTACTATGAGAATGATCTAAAGTTCTAAACAATGGCATTGCCTTAGCTAGGAATCACTCAAAATATTATTATTTAACATGGATGAGTAACTTCGAGTTTCAACCGATACACAACAAAGTTCCAAGCGATAAAAATTTACTAACCGATTCCCTAGGCATATTTTTAACTGCTCTGGATGGGCGTTTCGGTGGTGTAGGGTTCGCCATTTTCGGGTTTGTTATGATTGGGATTTTAGTTCAGAGTCAAAATGATATTACCGCTGACATTTAGGAGGACAACTCATTGACACAGGGTGAACGAGATAATTCTCATAATTAATAGGAATATATTTGTGTATGTTCAAAAAAGGCATATGCTAATAAATCCTTGGTATCGCCTTCACATGTTGGTATGGCGCAAATAGAATAAATAATTTGAAAGAAAAAGTCCCGGCAAACTTTCTGAAAAGTCGATCCCTATCTGCCATGCAAGGGTAGCCTGCCGAAAACCACCACTGCCCTGGATGTAATGGACCATCATGATTCCTGCCTTCCGGAACGTAGCCTTCAACACTTCCAGCCGTCCGTATCTAGGCCGTGGGTCGAACCAGCCCTCGGTCGACCGGCCACTTGTCGAAGGACGATAAATTTTTGGAACAGAACTATGCTATGTGATACCTAACCTCAGATGCGGTGAACGTAAAATTACGTAATTTAACGATGCTCGGAAGTCAGATTTGATCCGCGGCCTGGTGGTGCACGGCAGGTTCTATGCAAGGCCGGAGGGAGACAAAGCCGAGTGGTTCACGGATAATTGGTGGATGTCCGGAGAGATTCAAGGCGTTCGATTCAGGGCTTATTGATGCACAAAATCAGTGGTGCACGGCTGCGCTCAGAAGCCGTCTGGTCCACATGACTTGTTGGGATTTTGAGCTACCAGGTGCTTGAGAACCTCTTCTTCGTGTATTTCAAAACATGTTAACTTCGAGCCGACTGGGCGCTCCTCAATATCTGGAATACTGTTCAAGTCCTCATCTGTGAACACACTGCTGAAGAACTGATTAACTGAGTGAACTGATTAACTGAACTGAGTGAACACACTGCTCAGTTTCCAACTGAGGTGACACAATTTGCGACATCACTGATTTTGATAAAAACAAACATTTTCTTAATATTTTTTTGTTAGTCCTAGTTGAATAATATCACAAACTTCCTTTGGCAAATGTGTGCAATAGCTAGCTTATATAATAACATATCCCAAAAGAACAAATATTAATATTGCTTTAGGTTGGACATATGTAGGTGCCAGGAGGCAGGAATGTTTCTAATATGTCCCTGTAGTTAGCTAAGCCTTGAATTTAGCGCTACATGCAAGTTATAGAGTAAATCGTTGGGCAGGAGGTCACACCGTCACAGTCCCGTCAGTCAATTACTTTTGAGTTGACATAGACGTAGGATGGTAGGAGTGTTACTCAAGTGTCCCTGTAGTTAGCTATGCCTTGAATGGTATGCTGTATGCAAGATTGCAAGTTATGGTATGGAGTAAAACATTGAGAGGGACGTCACAGTCACGAAAGGGTTAAACCAATTTCTTATGTATGATAATGCTGGTGGTAGCCTGGTAGGCCTACCTGCCACCTGGTACTGGTAGGTGGTAGCCTGGTCAGCTCACAGCTGGTCTGGTACTATCCATGAGATACTTAACTGGTCCGGTCGTGATGCCTGTTGGAACTTGGAGACCACCACTGCCGATGACTGCTTTGAATGGACTATCATGATGCCTTCCCTCAAGAACGTAGGCGTAGCCTATATTCTATATCACTTCTTGACTAAGTTGACTGTAACAACAGTAACATTGACAGCTGGCACTCCTGGCAGCCATGAGCTGAGCTGCAAGCCACCAGACATCACATCATTTGAATCTAGTTGGGAAAGTCCTACTTTTTTCTGAAATATTGCTGCTCTAATGCCATGTACGGTGTATATTTGTTTGATTGAAAAACCACCACTGCCGTCAGTGCCGTGCTTCAAATGGACTATCACTAATCATGATCGGATGATCCCTCTCCCTCCCTCAAGAATGTAGGTACCTAGCGTATAACACTTCCTGAGTCTTGAGTCTTGACTGTAACATTGTCAGCACTGAGCACTCAGCCATAAGCCACCACTACCAGTCATCACAATCCATTGAATCTAGTTGGGAAAAGTCCTATTTTTTTCTGAAATATCGCGGCTCTAAACCTCTAATGCTGTGTATTTTTGTTTGATTGAAAAAATCCTGGTTCACAGTTAGCACTTTGCAAACGTGTCATTTCATAAAATTTTCAACGTCTGCAGCACTTCAATGCTCCTGCCAAAATATCCTGCATAATGTCATGATGACAAGTCACCCCAAAAGGTTTAGATGGGGACATGCTGGAGGCCAGCTTTGCCAAATTTTGCACTTAATTCATATTTCTTTCCAAGGTTCACTAACCTATACTAGTTGCAACATTTCTCCACCCTAAACAAACCTGAGCCAACCTAACCTAACCTCATTGGCTGCAGGAAGTTCAACGGCAGTCCAAGTGTGAAGTGTGCTGGTGGAGTGGGAGCCAGTCATTAGCTGCAGCCTGCAAGAAAGTTGTGAGCGGGGACAGTGTGAATAGGTTAGGACAGAAGAGGTTAGGCCAGACTAGGTGCAGCTGGATGAGGATTATGCTGCTTATGAGAAAGCATGCTTAAGGCTTGCCTGAAGACCTATGGTGCTATTATCTTTTGGTAGTGTGTTGCTTGTCTGGATTACGGAGTTTACGCATGATTTGCAGCTTCTAGTTCTCAGGCTGAGTAAAGTTAATGCATGGTGAGGCTGGGCATTGGCTCCAGCCTCCAGGGCTCATTTAGGACTTTGGAGTAAAATTTGTGGCCTACAAATGCGCCCCACTACTAAATGGTCAAGTTTAATATTGCATAGTTGTAGTCTCATCAGTGTGGTTAGACTGCATTATCACATTTTCAGTTGCTGCTGAAATAAAGACAAATTTATTGTTACTGTTTCTGAGATAAAATTTGAGATTTGGGGTAGCACATGCACAGGACTTAGTGCATGTGCTTTGTGTTTGTGGCTTGTAAATGGCTCTTCATGGCCGATGATGGCCGAGATATAGAATTCACTTCTTGAAGAAATGGAAGCACGGCTTGGAAATCCCTAAAATCACAGCTGAAAAAATACAGTCGCAGTTCAGAGAGTAGATATTTTCCTCACTAGCATTGAATTAGATCAGTCAGCCCACAGGAAAGTAGCCTGATGTAGTATGGCCCAGCATCATCTGGCAATACGCAAAAAATAATTTACACACCTGGATGGAGCATGCCAAGCCTTGCAGTGATTATGATGCCTGCCAGTCACCACCGACCCATCATATCTGTCCCATGTGTTGAATCAGCCTACAGTCAAACAGCCATTTGTCATAGGACAATAAATTTTGGAGCAGAATTATTGCTATCTGAAACCTAACCCCAGATGCTGTTAGCTAAAAGTGACTGTCTGGCGGTGCATGGCATGATTCGTGCAGTTCCACTGGCAAGCTGGGCTGATTGGCCGCAGTTGATTGTCTGCTAGTTACAGTTCAAGCTAAAGGCAGGGTATGAAGTGATGATTACACTCTGGGCTATTTGCTTTGGAATATGGTGGCATAAAGCTCTTAATATTCAGAGTAAGATGATGTCATGGTCTGGTTACTGATGGATGACTTACGCTAATGGCTGAACGGATGGCTTACACTGATGGATGGTGGTATCTAATATGTGCCTCACATACACATATCAGATAACAATGAGCTACATTCCTTGCCAGCTGTAGCAATGCCACCACTTGCACTGCATGGACCATTTATTTCTGGAAGCTCCTTTTGTGCTGGAAGATCCTGGGGGTTTCCTGGGACAGTTTACTGATTAATGTAGGTTAGAAACCTATGAATCGATGTCCTAGTTAACTATTGAAGACTTAGTGTCTTTCTGGACTTTCTGACTTTTCTAAAATTTCTTCAATTTATTTAATGAAAATTTATTTTCTGTACTGGAAAATATATAACTCAAATGTGCTAATCTATGTCATCAGTACCTAATGACAGCTAATGCCAACATTTCTCCTTGTCAAACAATCAATTTAGATAGTTTCATAAATCATGAGCTACTCACTTTGATTTTTTTATATAAATCAGAAAGGTTGATGTATTGAAGACTTCTTGTATTATTTATTATTGATTTTTTTTACAGATTTTGCATTTGAAAATAATCTGATAATCTGAGAAATTTTTCTTTGGGAAAATGTTTCCTAGATTAGCATTAGCATTATTTTACAATATTCCTTCAAGAAATTCTGTTACAGTATTAGGTCATACTGCTAGGTTGAAGCTCAAAAGCTCCACTTGTAATTTTTGTGCTCCCAAGATAAGACATTATTCAAAATTTCCAAGTGAAGATCAGGTGACGGGAAAGGATCCAGCTAAAAAAACTCTTGATGTCAGTGACTTCATGAAGTATACCCATCCACTGAGCCAGAAAGATGCTTCTGGTAACTATGTTGGATCAGCAGGAAAGAGTGAAACTGCTGACACATCCCGCAAGCCATCGGCAGATGTGAGCATAAAAAAGAAATTCTTCAATTTTGATGCTGTCCAGGATGCTAGTCCTACTGGTAAGAAATGTTTTTCAATAATTTGTGCATCTAGTTGTAGTACTCTTGTACCTGTTAATATCATTAATGTAATATTCAACACCGGTTGCATGTATGCAATGTCTTTATTCTCAAAGCCTTCATGATTCCCATCTTGTGGCATTACATGATGTTATATATATATTTGTGTTTTTTTTATTAATTAGTCAACATTCTTTATCTTTATAGCCATGAGCTACAAGATGAGGGACATTTTTTATTAAATGATTGTTTCATCATTATTTGTGATTTCTTGTATCAAGTTCCTGCACTTGTAAGAGAATTGAATAACTGTGCAGAAGCATGGAAGCAGTTGAGCAGCATGGGCTATGAGGAGTTTGATGCTAGTGGCTCGCGCATCATCTACGACGTGACTGAAGAGATGCTTGGCATTTCTGATGGCAAACCACTGCAAAGTGCTCCTTTGGAAGCTCCTTCACCATCCCCTGAAGATTTGAAGCTATCTAAAATTAACCTTAAAAGTCAGTTTGGATGATCCTTATGAAATCTTGAAAAACTTTGTGCTTTTTCATGATACATGTGTCAATAATGTAGGAGCAGCGTTAACCTGTATGCACAGCTACCAGATTGTATATATATCAGTATGAACAAATTTGTTTCTTCATGAGCAATGAGCCTATTAGTTTTATTTACTTTAGTTTGTGTCTATGCTTCTATGGCTTCTCAATTTATATAGACCAATACTATTTTCTTTTAATACAGGAGGCAAGAAAGGTGTGTTTGATCTGCAGGATTTGGTGGAGGTGCTTAATTTAGAAAATGCCAAGGACCTCGTGGCAATTAAGGTGACAATTTTATTAGATACTTGCAGCTCAAAAAATCTTATTATAATTATTGAATTTTTGGGTAGTGAGTAATTTTCATTTTCCTTTAATTATAGCTAGCTCATTCAATTGAACTTTTTTCTTAACTTCTCCTACTCTCATTTGTTGAAGATTCCTGCGGAGATGCATTTTGTTGACCACATGGTAATTGTCACTGCCAAGTCACAGCGACACTTGAGCGCTATTGCTAACGTGGTGCGTAAAGTCTACAACCTCAAGAAGCATCAGAAAAAGGACCCTGCGCTCATACTTGAGGGCAGGGACACTCCCTGGGTTGCCATGGATCTTGGTGAGCTGGATTGACTTGCCTCGTTTAGGTTAATCTATCAAACCTACTAGATAATGTAAATGAAATTTGCACATGTTGTAATTCAAAATCAGTGTCATTGAATGGAAGATTCTAATTCTTTCAGACCCAGATCTGTTTTTCAATGAAAGTCATTTGCCACTTCACCCAAAATGTTCACCATGCTTTTCATTATTTTCTACCGTAACAATTACAAAACTACTCAATACTTGCTGCAGTCTAAAGAATTATTACGAATCGTATTTCATTGGTTGCTAAGCATTAATTCCTTTTGCAGGCAACATCGCACTTCACGTGATGTCTCCTTCTGAGAGGAAGAGGATGGACATGGAGATGCTGTGGTTGTGTGGACCCGAGCACGATGTTATGGTCGGTATTTAACATTTAGTTTTTCTGCAGTATCATTGCTCATTAATGTTTTCCTTATTGATATCTTAGAATATTTTGCTAAACTATTTAACTTGACATTTTGACGGTAACCATGAACCATGAGAAGGGTTTATCCTTTAAATGTTATCCTAATTTCCTAGTGGACGTTGAATGATAACATTTTGATGTCACTCAACTCCATATGAAGCTGCTAAGTTGTTACCAAATAATTCGCTGTGTAAATGGTTCATCTGTCCGCAATACTTATTGTTCAATTAAATTGTTCGATTAACTGTTACCTTGACCATGAATACAAGTTTCCAATTCAACACTTAAACGGGTTTAAAATACTTCATCCAGAAAGACGTTTGATAGAAAGCTTTGTTTGTGCAGATGCAGCATCAAGACAGCGCTAAGGAGGACGATTTGTTTTCACTGGTTGACCCCGTTGAAGAGCCCGTGATCGAGGCGCAGCCCTACGACATCACAAAGCTTTATGATCATCCCTACCAACCTGTGTGGGCTGACGACACACTGCCAGATCACGACGAGATCAATGACGACAACAGGAACACATTCACTGCAACGTCCCTCATGGAGATCGCCTTACGAAAACACAACAAGGAACATGCTAGGAAATTTAGAGGGCGTTTCAGGAAATAAACATGTATTCATTACATTCACCGTGAGAACATAACATCCAGCCTACAATAACAAACAAATAACAAATGAAGTCAATGGAGCCAGAACATTTGCAGTTGATGTTTTCCTGTTTCTGGATTCTATGAATCCAGAAACAGGAAAAAACGCAATCTTAAATACCTGTTTCTTAAACGCTATCTCAAACTATTGAACGCAATCTTAGACCACCGTTTCTTAAACGCTATCTTAAATTGCTGTTTCATAACGCAATCTTAAACTATTACTATTGCTCTGTAAATTAATCGGTCATTACTGAAAGTAATGACAGTTGGAGTGGATTATCCATTTTATGATCTCATTATTCCTCAACGTTAGATAACATCACGGCTCTAGTACTCTATTGAATATTCAAAACCTTTGTTCCATTTAACAAGAGGGCTTTTATAAATGCAGCTAAAACCTTATCACATTCATAACTAAACCAAAAATAGTTATTTTGTGATGAACATAAATCACATTATGTCCTAAATCTTATAAACCTGTACATGAATGTCTTCACTCGTCTATTACATCAACTTCAATGTATAAATATTTGCGAAAATCCTCGTCGATTGTTCTGCTGTGTTTTACTTTTCACACATCACGTTTTAGATTAGTTTGTAGTTCTAATGAGCAACTTTTTACACTAGTATTCATTGTCAAGCTTGAATCAGTCCAAGGCACGGTGATATTCTTGTAGGTCCAATGAATCTTTCTTCAGATTGTAACAATCCAGCGAGTTTTGGCCCACAAACGCAAAATTTATTTCAGTTTTCCTTCTAATGGAGAGGTCTTTAATATCACACAATTCTGTAAATAAAGCAAATTCGAGCTTTCTTGTCCGAAAATTTATTAATGTTTTTGTGTGTCCATATTTTCCTCCCATGGTCTTCAGCGCTGAAATCTTTGGACTTCGAGTGAACATGGAGATTGCTTGATATTTCAAGCATGTCCTAAACTGACGTGACATAAATGCAAGGGTTTCCAGTCACTAAGTTTCTAGTGAAGATAATGCGTGGACAACACTTGTGTTGGATGTTTCAGTCACCTTGTGATCAAATAATGTTAATACTATATAATACTGCTATAAATAAAATGACAGCATTTTGAGAACGGGATGTGCATCCGACATGTCGCAAGGTCACAATTAAGTTTATCGTCGGTTTAAAGGCTGGCCAAAAGACGGGCAGTGCGAGGCGTTGCGCGAGTGCTGCTGCTGCTGCTGGCCAATAGAATCAGGGAATTTCTGAGCGAACGCATCGTTGGGAGAAACTAGTAGAGATCGCACAGTTCTGGGAGTCAAGACTTCATGCATGGGAGTGTCGTTAGGCTTTAACCCAGCGACCTGATGTCGGTTTGCTAAGAGGGGCGTGCTGCTCCTGCTGTGGAGCTGCAGTTGGTCCATAGGGCTTGACAAGCTTCCCCTGCTCAGTTCATCTAAGTCAGGTAACCAAAATACAAAAACTAAATTAATTGTTTACAAACATCTATGTAAATCTATTGCATTTCTATCCTATTTAGGTTTTAGTCAACATAAAAGTTACTTAAATTACATGTCTACGAACTTGACTTGATCACGCCAGAGACCTGCTTTCTAGTTCAGGGCTGCTGGTTATGAAAGCATTACGCTTTGATTGCAACATGGAAATCAATATAAAAAATTTCCTTGTCGATGCTGGCCGCTATTCACGCACAGATTTAAGTACTGATGCAACAAGAGCAATTTGTTATTATAGTGATTATATTGCGTGAATGATAGAAATTATGTTGGGAACAGTAAATATTTTTGGCGTACCCAAATTCAGACAGCTCATGAGTTTCAGTCGTGAAAATAATATTACTACAATAATACTGGAAATGTTCGGCAACACGGAAAATGCAACACTTTCTTGTGTGGGACGTGCGTCGGGCAATAGAAAGCAATGCCCAGTCGGAGCGACTTACTGCTGGTTACCTTGGAGATTGTGAGTGAGATCCGTAGGGGCTGCGATGTCGGCACTCCTCGCTTGGAGGACCTGAGGGACCACGCATTAATCAGCGAGCGAACACACGAGCTCTGCCTTTATAATCCTGCAATACCAGCTGCCTTCCCAATTTGCCAAATATACTTTCTATATAACCCTCATAATGATCAAAACGTTTTGAGTTAATACTTTCTCTCTGCTACTAACGCGGATATTTTTACGGAATCTTTCGTAAGCGTAACAAGAGTTATACAGAGGTCGCGAAATATCGGCATGATTATCGGTCCAAGTGTATACTATACTATTGCGTAACTCATTTATTTTTGGTTGAAATGCTCTACTGTAATCAAACGATACACGTGCATGTTATCATGTCGCTCTCGAATCCATTATAAGTAAACCTATAATTATAATCATGATGGTGTTAGCTCTAGAGTCTATAGACTAATTCACCCAAAAACCGGGATAATACCGAAGGAAATGTAGCATAGCAAAAAGTTTTGTAGAAGCCTTAATTATTATTCACGCTTGTTGGTCCTAATGCGATGGATCCTACTAAAGTATTTGTACTAATATTAATGATGATTACAATTAGAGATGAACGAGAGAAGCTGCTTGATAAGGACCTCCTGAAATACGAACAGTTCAGAGCAATCGGTCAAGCTTGGGGTCCTGCAAAGAACGTGAATGACATTCAACGTTGTTATAGAATGGGAACTTTTGAACAACTTTTTTTTTTGATGGATTTAACTCTAGCGTTAAGAAATGCTGAAGCTTAGCCAATGAATATTATGCTAAGCGAAATACATGCATCATGCTAGGCGAAATAAGCTACAGTATCCTGCTATCGTGGTACCGCTGCTGATGCTGTGAAGAGAATAAGTCATTAAAAGTACAAGAATATCGGCTACAGGCTATGGTGTTGTTTCTTCAGCTCCAACAATACTAGGTTATGTTATGAAGACCTCGTTCACATGCACCCACCAGTGTCTGAGGAGAAGGGCCGCGGTGGCAGAACGTGTCCCCGACTCGTTTTGACGAGCGTTAATCTGCCGGGGCTGATGGGGCTCGAATGAGGCGACATCTGAACGAGAACAAGTGTATCGTGTGATTCTATCCGCGATAATTCGCAATAGAAGTGAGAATATGAGGTAGTTTTAATTATTCAGAGTAAGCAAATACTAGAATAGACTAAATAGATCACAATGGGCTTAACACGATCTTCTCCAAATTTCATCATACTTAAATATATCAAACTTACGGCTATCCTTAATCTGCATGTAACTAATCAAATTTACAAACCTCAACCAACTCATCAAACACAATGAAATAAACTGCTGCCATCTAGCAATTATACTCATTTCGACCGAGAACAAATAAATGCATTTGTTCCAGCTAGAACCTCTGATAATTTCAATGTTTTACAGAAACAATTTAGGAGAACTTGATAGCGCTCACCCCCGGCGTGTGGGGCCACGGGCCACGTCGGTACGAGTCGTAGCTCGGCTGGGGCCCCGTAGCAGGCCTCGCTGTGGCGGCTCTTGGCGTGTGAGGGGCGCCACAGTTGGGGGACGGGAACTGTTGGTGCTGCTGCTGCTGGTGATGCAAGTTGTGTTCCTGTTGTTGCCGAGTGATCAACTGCTGCTGGTGCAGTTGTTGCTGATGCAGCTGTTGTTGGTGTTGTTCGTGATGATATCGGTCTTGGTGATGATGAATTTGATGCGTCGGTTGTGAGTGCGGGAGCGGCTGGGACTGTGTATGCAATGCCGGTAGGTTGTTGCAAGGGACATTGACACAATTCCCTTGTAGCTTTTGTTGTTGTTGTTGCAACATCATTTGTTGTTGCATTTGGTGTTGTTTTTGTTGCATATTTTCTTGCATAGGAGCCATCTAGAGGGAGCATATTAAACGAGTTAGTTATTATACACATCCCGGGAGTTAAAAGCGAATAATTCCACAAATTCCAAATAATTTGTCTAACTTATGTAGGATTATTACCTAAAAGATACGAATTGATACGCTGGTTTTGATGATGTCGAGGTAAACCAAAATAGGAAGTTAAGCCAATGATTAATAGATATCGAGAATGAACAAATGCAAAGAACCATTTTATGTATATACATTTACTGAGAGTTTCAGTCAAAATTGTTTTAAGACACCCATTGGCTTGGCAACACCCATGAAAGGAAATGATAACTCATTTGAAGGGAAATGATAGCTCATTTGTAGGGAAATGGTAGCTCATTTGAAGGGTAATTATGTACTGACCTCTCCTGTTCCTGCACTCGACTCATGGCAGCCTTGAGCTTGTTATCCTGCTCCTGTACTCGGCTTATCGCTGCCTTGAAGTTCTTCTCCTGCTCGTTGTACCGTGACAGCTGCAGTCCCGTCATGGAAAACAAGTGGTGGATATCAGCTTAATTAAGAAATAACGTCTTGAACAAAAACATACCGGCAAACTTTATTGCCAATTTTTAAATTTAAAAATCATTTAAAATAATCTTCGTTGCTAGCAAACAAAAACTTATGCTTACTGCTTAGGACTGCAATAAGCAGATTTACTAACTACATTTTTCGAATCAATAACACCTTATCGCCAGCAGAAATTAGCTGCAAATGTAAATATTAAAGCACCAGAGCCCTTCAATGCAAACTGTTTTCGTCCATTGCTCAACCTATTGTGAACCTGTGCAGAAATTTGGGGAATTGTTAACCAAAAAAGAATTGTGGACCTATTGCTTCATGATATCGGGAAATGTACAAGATTAATTATAATGTTTCTAGTAAAAAGTTTTTAATAAACGATAATTGTATCCATCGACAATGTATTTAACATCACTAGCTTTGCATATGAAAAGAAGAAATTTTTTTGTGAAATGCGTTGAACAAAACCTCTTTGATTTGAGCAATCAACCCATGGCTGTGTGACGTGAATCTGTTTACTTGATGCGGTTTACCTCAGGGTCACTACCAAATAATATGAGAGTTCGGCAGTTACTGACGGGCACGACTGATGTCGACTACAATTTCTTCCGAGAGATTTCCTTTTTCAATACAAAATAAAATATTGTAAACACACCACTGCGTGAGATACTTTCCGGCACAACGCACGCTCACGACGGTAGCATGCGGCACAACATCTCGTCTTGCCACCAACACTCGGCCTCGTATGCAAGAAACTCAACAAGTGAATATGTGTGGACTGCAGTGAAGGTGGACCCGCTTTGTGGTGGAGGGATCAGCATGTTGGCGCTGCAGGGAGCAGACTCACCACTTTGCGATGGAAGGAACTCAGTGTAAAGGCGCTGCAGGGAGCAGACTCACCACTTTGCGGTGGAAGGAACTGAGTGTCAAGGCGCTGCAGGGAGCAGACTCACCACTTTGCGGTGGAAGGCGACCAGACGCACGCGGTGGCTCTTTTGGAACTCGAGCAGCTTGAGCGTTTGGCTGTGCTGCCTCTTGAGCAGCTCGCCCGGCTCCAGGAAATACATCTCCGCATCCGGCTTGATCTTCAATAGAAAACAACACTATAAATTGGGAAGGAAATCTCCAGGGAACAAGCCATTCTAGGGTAAACATTTAGCGTGGTCTATATACATGAAGTATATACATGATATATATACATAAAGACATTTCAGAAATTTATTTTACGATCATATTTCCTTCTTCATTAAAAAAGTGAGGAGTTCATAACAGAAAATAACATTTCTTTAAAAATGTTAATATTATATTTTGGGTCAGAATATTGGATAATTTCAAGCAATAAGCACGGTTTGTTGTCTTCAATTCAAAAGTTACACAAATAAAAAGGGAATCCCTGAGAAAATCTCCGCATCCGGCTTGATCTTCAATAGAAAACAACACTATAAATTGGGAAGGAAATCTCCAGGGAACAAGCCATTTTAGATCAACATGTAACGTACTCTATATACATGCAGTATATACATGATATATATTATATATACATGAAGACATATAAGAAATTTATTTTACGAGCATATTTCCTTCTTCATTAAAAAACGTGAGGAGTTTATAACAGAAAATAACATATTTTTAAAAATGTTAATATTATCTTTCGGGTCAGGATATTGGATAATTTCAAGCAATCAGCACGGTTTGTTGTCTTCAATTCAAAAGTTACACAAATAAAAAGGGAATCCCTGAGAATTACGAGCAAAGCAACGAGCAGGCAACAAGCCTAGGCGGTGATACTGTTAGCAGCAATAACATAAGTTCAGCAAGATAAGATAAGATCAACAAGATAAGCTAAGATCAACAAGATAAGATCAGGAAGGACATATACCTTTGACGAGAGCTGAATGAACTGACATTGTGACGAGCAGAAGAGGCAGTTGGTCTTGGCAGCCTCCCCACCTGTTCACGTAAAGTAACCATTAATTAAATGAAGCTTCAAATGCTCAGTTAGTTGGGTTGATACAAGATAATATGATAAATATAAGCTACCGTCAATGCCACTAACTTGTCGCCGGCCTTCAAAAGAAACTATTTTGTGAATAAAACTGAGCCGCAACTTACGAGCGCGATCGAAAATTTTCTGAGTTACAATGTGACAATCGTAATTCTGACCAATATTATAACAAACCCTAATTCTGACAAATATAATACGGTTTTTATAGACGGACGGTGACATAAGTTTACTAGCTTTCGAGTGGCGATTTGTGTTTTGTTGGCGGTATGCATTCACATGATTCAGTCAGTCCTGACGTTTGCCTCTTATATAATGAATGCACGCATTTAATGCGTGCACGGTGCACTATACAGCCCAGACTGTATTAAAAAAATTCCCTTTTGCTTATAAAGAACTGGAGTTTTCTGCTATACAAATCATTTGATAAGAAAAGCGCTTTTAGTTTTTACACTAAATCTAGAGACGTGCGTTGCACACTGCACAGCATGTGCAGTGGTCGCAATTGTACAATTCTACCTACTACAGTACAAGTACAATTCTGGTCACAACGCTAGTTATCACTGATACTCCATAATCTCGACTCCAGAGAGCCTTGACGTACCTTTTGCCGCGCAAATATCGCAGAATAAGTGGCCGCAGCTGGACAGCATAAATATGCGACCACTCTCATCACCTGGCTGTCGGCAGCAAATGTTGCAGTTAATCCAATCCATCTCGATGACTACGATACATGAATGATCTCAGGGTCGTCGAGGGGATGAATGTAGTCAGTTATACCCCGACTACTCTCCTGTTCCTACACAACACCAGTGCAGAATAGTGAATTTTTTTACCAGATCCAAATCGAAATTCTTATAGATCACAAAAAATCACTTAAGCGGAAATAATTAGGACATGAATGATTATTTCACGAACTGTTTTTGGTTCCGTTTTCGTGAACAAGCGTCTCTCATGCTGTGTGTTGCGACACTGTAGGAACGGGCAACATTTTCTTCCAAGTAATGTATTTTCCTACACTTGTGTGCTCATATTTCAAAGTTGACTTTACTCCCGCGTGTTATTCGCAATGTAAAATTTTTTTAATAATAAAAGATATAAAATAAAGTCCTTCCTTACAATTATCAATTGTTGATTTGATGGGAAAATTCTAAACAGAATGAACTTATATTACAAGAATTGAACAAACGTTTAATCCTACTTAGCTACTCCTACTAAAACGTTCACTCCGTTATGATATGTCAGTGCTCGTCTGCAATTATATGTTTCCAAAGATCAAATATATTTAAGAACGATCTATGACAAAACTTCATGACTGTGGAAACAAATTTTAATGTGTTATAATCCTATGGAGAGAGTGACGTTTTTATTAAACTTTCTTGAGGGAGTTAGATGGATGCGAAACAGTCTGGGAGTAGACAAGTCCAAGACTCAAAGTCTCACAACTTCAGTCGCTCGTAGGCTTGGCAGTGGTAAGGTTGTGTGGTCGGCGCTCTTATCCCGTAAGCGATGAGTGTTCCCGAACATCAAAACGGAGCGCTACTACGAGGTCCGCTTCCTGACATTCAAGAAAATGAACTCCTTCATGCAGCGCCTTCGGAAGTAAAAGTTATAATAAGAGAAAATCCTCTTCAAGAAAGACCCTCCACTGCATCCAAAGCTGCTGGTACCGAAGAAAAGGAAAAAAAACCTCGAACACAATTGGAGAAATTTTTAATCTCGACCTGCATCTTGTTGTCATCATGCGTGGTAGTCCTGCTGCTGCTGCTCATGTTCCAGACATATATGACAGGTGATGTAGATACCAATATTAGAGCAATTAATAGCTAATATTTTGGTAATCACGTGATTTTCATGTAACTTTACAGGTATAGTTGGCTACCGGTAGCGGTAGGCTATGGGTTTTAAAGTCACAGTATTGTGTCCATCCTGAAAAATATTTACGAAAAAATTTTGAAATAAGACTCACAAAAAAATTAGATAAAAATATATGGATACCTATTGCACACAGTACAATGTAAACCCTTTATTATTTTGTGTGATGATAATTGATATACGCCACTTTGCCATAAATATTCTTAAACAATAAATGAGGATCAAGCTTGATTTATTTTATGGTTAAGAATTAGTGATATTAACATGATTGTTGACATACGAAACTGTATGAGTAAATTTTTCTTAAAGTCTGTAAACATGATCCAAATGACAATCTACGTAGTATAATAACTTGAGTGTTAACCATGCTCGGCTCCGAGCGTGGATGTACTATAATAACGCTGTCGTGCATACTGCATGTACTCATTATCATATAGACCAGCTATAGACTTCGATTTAGATTTAGACTTCGACTCTCTGAGCATGTCGTTTCAGGCGCCAATATCGAAGTGAAATTCACCGGTACCCGTTATGTCCAGAAACGAGTCTGCTCCACACTTCCACAGATGTCTGCGATTAAAACAAACCAAAAACAATGCCATAGAAGCAAATCTTGCTACTCAGTGTGACCAAAATGAGCCTTATTAAATATCTATTTTTATTCAAATTATTATGCTTGATAGATAATAGAAAGAAGTTGCCGTGCACCTGTAACTGACAGTACGTATGGCCTGAAAAAGATTAGGTTATAGTATAATCATTGCTTAACTTCTCACTGGAGTTATCGTGTGATCTTATATAATATTTCACATGGTCATTCACAGGCAGTTATAAGAACTACCAGATCCATGCTGTTGGACGGTGTTTGGCTACCTAGTTAATGCATATACGATTTGGTCTTTCCAAAGTTTGTAACACAGGCCTCACAGGCTGCGACTTCCGTAGTTCTGTTTATCAACACCAATTATTGATCGATGCCATGCGGTCGTACACGTCAGTCGAATAACAGAAATCCTTGCACTCACATACTATTTATAAACAGTGGCTACTCAACTCTCGGTTGTATAAGGGGCGGTAAAATCACTTTCGACTTCCATTGTTTTGAAATAAGGAAGTATCATAACTAACTTAATTGGTTCTATATCTGTTTAAATCTAATTTGAATCATACATGGCAATACTACAAAAATGCATCATAATTACCGATTAGGTTAAATTTTCTTTTGAGTGACGTAAATTGACTTACACCGACTTCCTGAATAATGTTGGAAAACAACCACGTTTCAAGAACCTGACACGAGAGTTAATATCTTCTCATGTGGATTAAAATTCATGGACTTGCTGGCGTGTGCTCGGTCGGAGCTTCTACACTCGAAGCGTTGTGAAAGTTGTCATTAGGTCACTTGAATAGCAATGAAGATTTTAATTAAATCGGACCACAAAAATCGAAGGTGAAGTCTTTTGTGATACATAAATAGAATGAAATTCACTCAAACATGCGTGTAGAATCGCAAATACGCCATGGCCGTGAATACTGCGCTCTCCACGACTTTATGTGCTCGCTGTTGCGATGCCCAAGTTGCCGTAGTTCAACTTTGCCAAATTTGAACACCTCGATACTCCAGTGACATTGTCTCGCGTTCATTTGCAGTCTGAGTCAAGTACCATTACTCAGGATGGCTCATGGCTTATTAACCAGCTTGACTAGCGCTAGTCATTGATATGAAATTAAATAATTTACAACCTCTTTGAAAGACATTACTTCAGTTTCCAATATTTTGTAATATTTTGTTATGTAATTGATTATCGCTGACGCCCATCATGTAAATGACAGCAAATTTTAATGACCAGTGAGACTGTGACGCCCGCCAACGCTGCTCGCGGCCGACTCTTGAATGCGGCGTGACTGACCAACGCTGATGCGGGTCTCCGCAGGCGCGAGATTCTTTTAAGTGTATAAATATGATAAAACATTAGAGGTAATTTTTAAATTCTGGTACATAATTACTGTCTCGGTGGTATTGTCTAGGGACAATATTCTCGCGAATATTGTCCCGAGACAATATTCCCGTGGCGTTTTCTCGCCTGGGAATGGCGAGAAAACGATTTTGAGACGCATTGGTCTCGATGAAAGTCTGCTTTTTTTTATCTTACGACGACGAAAGATTAGTGCTCATAGCCAGTGGTTACATCGAACTCATATTTGACGTTTTTTACAGGCAATGACTGAATTGCCTGCAGTTACGCTCTACACGGGTTAATACAACCAAACGAGAGATAGACCTGATTGCGCCTTTCACAATCATGAAGCACGGTGATTGCACGGCTGACGAGAATTTTAAGAATCAAGGCCCATGGTATCGGACCATTTTTTCTTCTACGTTGTTTTCGGATGCATGATTGAGTTTGCTACTCGTGCGTTTCCGGCCCACTCGAGAATCTTGGATTAATTTTCTTCAAATTTGAATTTTTTTTAACATTACCGTTTGCCCTAACCGCCTACCATAGTGGTGTTTACTATATTGCATCGCCTGCAACTCAAACGATAATAGCACATGAAAGCATCGGAATTACCCATACATGAGGCATGAGAGCTGCGAACCTGCAAGATGGGAACGAATTACGTGCGAAGTTTATTTTTTTAAATGAATTATACTCTGTTCCCTATTTTTTTATATTATGCATGGATTTTTACTTCATTCGGGCCATGTCAACATGTTGAAAATATAAGAAGTCCTCCGTGTGCAAGTACCTACTTAATTGCTGGTCACTCCTACAAACTGAATCGCGCCCTGATTATAAATGTTGAATATATTTGAAATATATTAAATGAAAAGTACTTTTTTGTTTTAGCTAGTAAAATATGCTAGTAATGAGAGAATTCTGTTTCATACCAGCCTAGTGAAGTCCCTTAGTTACCCAATTCTGTTATGAATAGATGAGACTTTCATGATGGATGTAAACCATAATATTTAGACAGCTACAGATTTAGTGATTCCCTTTGTGAAGGTAGATACTAGATGTCCTTGTGCACATTTTGAGCAAAGGTCAGTTTAGTAATAGTAAAGTAATTGTTATTTATACGAGTTAATCCTGGATGATAAAGAAAACTGTGTTTACCCATTAATATTCACATCACAGTCATGACGACTGTCGATCAATAATTGCGTTTAGCGACGAGTGCATCTCAGTATAGTGAAGGTTACAAGTGTACGACAATCGTTTAAGGAATATCAGTGAAGTTTATCATCGAGTGCATCAGCGTGTCGTGAAGGTTGCAGAGTTCCTATATATGCCGACGCGCGTTCATAGAACCTAACTCTCCTCCATCACTTGACGCTATTGGTGAACACAAGCAAGCCTAACTTGCTTGTGTTCACCACCTAACTCTTGCTGCGCGAGCGAACCTCGAGCCTCGTACTGAGCAAAGAGTGCTAGTCTTTTAGCTGCCCTGTCCCTGCTTGCCACTATTTATTGGTATAATATCGTGTGCCCTTTGAGATGTCGTCATGGAGTATCAAAGCTCGTCTATTGCTTCCGCGAGCTTCAGTTATAGTTAGATAAATAGTTTTTTTAGAATGAAATCTCAACTGAGATTGGGTTGATATCCTGACTATTCACCTGGGTGATTGCTTTCATTGGGTCGCAGTTACCCAGCATTGCGTTACCGTATCTGTTGCGGAAGCTTCGTTTTTAACCAGTGTATTACTGTATACGTGCCGAACGTTATTCAAAGTTATTCCGAGTGTCAGGACTCAGGAGATACGGTATTTCAAGGTTATGCTTGTACTAGCTAAGGCATCACATTCCCAAGAAATTAATATATCACAGTAAAATTTCCTTTTCCGAAGATAAAGCGTAAAAATCGATGCGTATTGGTAATTGCAAGTATAATCATTTAATTCAGTTTGCGGGCTGACATTAAAATTCTGTTGCGAGAAAAAACTATGAATGAGGTCATGTGTTGCGTTGCTTGTGGTGACGCTGATTTTAAATACAAATGTAACGGACGAAAATCGTTCAACCAACTCTTTCTGTGTATGCAAGCTAAATGAAAAGTCAATCAGAACATCAGCTTGATTTTTAAAATAATTTTCTCAACTAAAATTATCTTATTTATCAGAATACGTACCTATTAGCTGTATGGACATTCTTCTTTAAATTTTTTGTCAACATGTTGTCTCATAATCTGATAGTGATAATGATAAAAAAATAATATGAAAAATGTCATTTAAAAACTAAAGATTCAAAAATTTTCCATGGCGTTGCTCCCTTATTGAAACGTAGAGTCGAATCAGCGACAGCCAGCGAGCTACGCCTATATTTATCGGCCTCCAAGACCACTGCGCATAACGTTGCCCACATGTAACATGGACGAAGGGACGAGTTTTGCACTGGTCGAAGGAATATTGGGCGAGGGTCGCTGTTGTTTGAATAATTTTTATGAGAATGCGGCGTTGCGGGACCCTTGAGGCACTACTGAGTCTTGGCGCTGTTAAAGCCGACGCTGCGGAGCAAGGCGCACCTGCATAGCGAACTGCAGAGTGTCCTGCTGTCCTCTGACCTGCTCTGCATAGCTGTAACGAACTGCTGCTGAGTCACAACAGCGAGTTCCCTCATTGGATTTGTGTACTTTGTTGAACTCAATGTTCTGTTGTTGTTCTGCAATGCTCTTCTGTTGTTGGCAACACGTCTGACCATGTGTTGACGTGGCGTATTGTTGACCTCCTGGCGTTCTTCACTGCATAGTCTCATGAGACGGTTGACGCAATCTTGTGAGAGAAACGATCGAGCTACGTGCGCCGCATAATACACTTATGACGAGCTAAATGGCTTTCGAAACCTTCAATAGTATGTTTCCGAACTTTTGGACGAGATGACTTACATCAATAAAAAATCATATTAAATTCTGCGGGGC